GCAAGCAAAGACACACCCCATAAACAGTGAGCATTTCAGAGACTGCAGAATTGGGCATTCCTGTCCTGGCACAGGCAACCAGAGTAAGATGAACCTGGTGCCTTCCTTCTACACCCCAGAGTTCATCCAGCCCCAATTATCTTTACAGTCCCAAGGATAGACTAAACATACTTGTCTCTTGCTCTCATAGAACGCCCTGCCCTGCGGGGGGAGGGGTGTGATAAGATGGTATGAAAACAAGGTCCTTAGGGCCCTCAGAATGTAGACTGGTGCTGGCCTATGTAGACTGGCCTAAGGACACGATGGGCAGAAGAGAAGCAGCCAGTCTTCACCTGACCTCCTGCAGCTGTTGGAGGACAGTCACCCTCCAAAGTTAGGTTTGGGGCCTCCCTCTGGGGCCTTTCTAACCTGGAGATCCTTCCATGTCAGTAGTTTCTGGCAGTGCCTGAGGCTGTGCACCCCTGAGCCAGGGCTGCTGCTCCACTGTGAACGGCTCATTTAGACACAAGACAGTTCAGAGGACATGCAGACACAGAATGGAGTAAATGTCGGGTGGTGGATGTGGTGGTGCACACTGGTAGCCCCAGTGCTCAGAATCAGCAGGATGACTACACGCTTGAGATCAGCCTGGCCTACCCAACTAGACCCTGTCTGAAAAAGCAAAGCTTGGCATAGCCCTAGGGAGGCTCAAAAACAGAACAATAACAACAAAAATGGGGGGGTGGGTAGTGTGGGGTCTGGAGATATGGCTGTTGCTCTTCTTACAGAAGACTTGGGTTTAGTTCCCAGCACCCACTCGGTGGCTCACAACTCTGGAGTTCCAGTTTCAGTGAATCCCAACACCCTCTTCTGGCCTCTATGGGCACAAGGCATGCACACGGTGTGTGTGTGTGCAGGCAAAATATTCATACACAAAATAATCTTCAAATTGTGCCTAGATTAATAATTTTTTAAAAGAAAAATGGGGTGTGAGAGATGCCTAAGTAGTTAAGAGCATTTACTGCTCTTGGAAAGAACCCAGTTTAGTTCCCAGCCCCCATGCCGGGTGGCTCACAACCATCTGGGATTCCAGCCCCAGAGGGACACACCACCTCTAGCCTCTGAGGGTACCGCACTCACACGCACATAGCCACACTCAAGACAGACACAAATATAAACATAATTTCAAATAAAAATATCTGTCAAAGAAAATAGGACATATAGCAGTACGCCAAGTGGCTACTTCGAGGGAGATGAGTTTATTCTTTGCTGACAGTATCTCATTGTGCAGCCTTAGATGGCCTGAAGCTCACTATGTAGATCAGCTGGCCTCAAGTTCATACAGATCTGCCTTCCAAATGCTGGGATTAAATTCAGGTGCCACTTAGCTACAACAAAGATTTCTTCCATATTGTGTTTCCCATCCTAAGGAGACTATTCTCTCTTCCTCCTTAGGCCTACATCCCATTTCCTTTGGCTCTCCAATCAGCACTGAGGTCTAGAGGCTGTTGTCTCTCCCTTCAGGGCCCCAAATCATTGCACTGTGCAATGATCTTGGTGATGTGGGGCCTCACTAGGCCACCTGCTCCTTTGAAGAAAGGGGCAGTGTTTGATTACCTCATTGTTCTCTGCAGAGTCTGTGAGCAAACTAAATTTACCAAATAAGATGTAAGGGCCCCTGGCCTGTGGGAGACCAAGTGGCCAGCTCTCTACTTACCAATCATATCTAGCAGATCCTTTGTGACCTCTGGGCCACAACTGCTGAGCAGCATGTTTGGGTCAACTTTTAAATCTCTCTCCATATCCTTCCTGCAGTCCAGATTGGGTGCGGGGTTGGGGGAAGAAGATGGGGAATTAGATAATTTCAAGAAAATACTGAAAAACTTCAGATAATCCAAAAAGCAAATGATTTGTTGCTTTGTTTCTTGAGACAAGGTCTCACTATGTAACCCTGGCTGGCCTGGAACTAAATCAGGGTGGCCTCAAATTCAGAGAGCCCCCTGCTTCTGCCTTGAGTGCTTAGGATTTAAGACATAGGCCACCATGCCCAGCGAAGACGAAAATGTACTGGTGACCTAAGTTTAGGCTATGAGAATAAGCAGAAACTGCTAACTACATCAGTGAAGAGACCAACAGCAACATCATAGCAATCCATCCTGATTACAGGCTGCACTAATGTTTATGAAACCAACACATGTATTTGCAGTTAAATGGTTTCTCCATTACCTAACTTGGGGATAGGCAAGATGGCCAGACGTCTAAATCACATCACATGTAATCATGACTGCCCTGGGCTGAGGCAGTTTATAGCTACTTCATAGGTCTAAAGGAGACAGTCCAAAAGCTCCCCCCCACCCCTTAATAGGGTTTCTCTGTGTAGCCCTGGATACCCTGGAACTCGATCTGTAGACCAGGCTGGCTTAGAACTCAGAGATCTTCCTGCCTCCTGATTAAAGACCTCTGTGGTACCACCACCCAGCTGCCAAAAAGCTTTAAGACAGGAGAGTGAAACAAAGAAAGAAAAAGCCAGGAGGTAGAGTCTAGCCATGGACTTAAGTATGGCAAAGGTTAGTGATGTCCCTGGCTCTAGACATGAAAGATGGTGTGGGGTATTTTGTTTCTACAGCACAAAATTTTTTTTTTTTTGTGTTTAGATTAGGTTTCTGCAGGACTCACGCCTGTAATCCCTGCTCTTGGGACTTAAGAAGGATCAGAGTTCCAAGTCACTTTCAGCTACACAGGAGTTAAAAATCGGCTGGTTGGGGCTGGAGAGCTGGCTCAGAGGTTAGAGCCCTGGCTGCTCTTCCAAAGGTCCTGACTTCAATTCCCAGCAACCACATGGTGACTCACAGCCATCGATGAGATCTGGTGCCCTCTTCTGGCCTGCTGGCTCACATGCAGGCAGAATGCTGTAAAAATTATCATTGCCAAGCTGGTGGTGGCACATGCCTTTAGACCCAGCACTTGGGAGGCAGCAGGTGGATCTCATGAGTTTAAGGCCAGCCTGGTCTATAGAGTGAGTTCCAGGGCAGGCAAGGCTACAGAGAGAAGCCCTGTCTCGAAAAACCAACCAACCAAATCAGCTGGTCTACATTAACTGCCTTAAAAATAAGCCAGGTGTGTAATCCCAGCACTCTGGGAGGCAGAGGCAAACTCAGGATCCCTGAGTTTGAGGCTAGCCTGGTCTACAAAGCAATTCCAGGACAACAGTCAGGACTCAGGGCTGTATTAAACAGAGAAAACCTGTCTGGAGAGAGAAAAAAAAAAGGTTGGCAGTGCAAATGCAAGTGAGACAACTTGAGTTGGATCCCTGCACCTCCAGTGGAAAGAGGATCAGCCCCTGAAGTCTCCCTTGACCCCCACGGGCATGCTGTGGCATGTGTGTGCCTACTGACACCACACACACATACTAACGACATTTTTAAATTTAGAAAAAATCATCCGCTGGAGAAGGCTGCCCTTCCAGACCTGCGGCAGCCACAGGGCAACTAACAATGCCAGTGACTGCAGTTCCAGAGGCCTTCTGGCCTCTGCAGGCAAAACATCCACACATACAATTTAAACAATTAGGAAAAATCCTCAAAGTCTAAAAGCAAAAACAACAAAACACTGCTAAGTTTTGTAGCTCAGTGGTAAAGTGCCCGTCCTGGCACGCATGAGGCCTTTGGCTCAATCCTCAGCATTATCCACCAGTTTAAAACTAGTTATTAACACTGGTGACCCTTTGGACACCGTAGTTTCCATGACTGGATATCTAGAGTTAGCAACCAGGCTCTCAACCCAAACACATACAGTAACAGTTTGCCGGGCCAGATTGTTAAAAAAAAAAACACGTATGAATTTCCTGTATATAGTCAGCACTTCCAACATGAGGCTAGCTTAGTCATGACTCAGATCTAGGATCATCAACCTTTTTTAAAAATAACTCTCCCTAATTGTTGCTAGTGAGCTATCAAATTAGAATCACCTTAAACTTTCTTTTCTCCAGTTTTCCCCATCTCCTGCAGCTCTCCAAAACTGTCTTTCACGTGCCAAAATGGAAGAGTGCATCAACATATTTTCTTTGCTGGTCAGAGGTTTTCTTTTGGGGTACAGAGGCTGGGGCTTTGCATTAACAGGGACATGGTGTGGCGCAAAGGCAGGGTTCTCATTCTCAGGAGCACAGGAGGCACCAGGGCAGGGGGCAGCAGAGGGGCAAGTTGCCAGTGGGTTTCTGCAGAGGAGCCTGTGCACGGGCAGGGAGGTGAGCGACGGGGCGTCCAGCCTCTGCGGGCCTGTGCACTCCTGGGAATGCCTGACTCCTTCAAAGGCTCGGTCTATGGCTGCAGTCAGCTCCTTCCTGCATCTTCGTAGTTTTTCAGACATTTCCCTAAAAGCGACCATGCCTTCTTTTATTAAGAAAGAATCGGCAACGCACGGAGCAACGTGAGAACGATGCTACAAGAGGCCGAGATTCAACCCCGATTTTGACCTACGGTTACATCATCATCGCTCGTTCTCTTCCTCCGAGAGGGGCGTATCGCCCGCCATTCTCAGAGGCCCCAGATCACCGCGAAGGGCCGAGCTGCCCCGCCTCACCACCCCCCAGAACTTCCTTAGCCGGTGGGCCGCAAGGTCTTTCCCTCCCCCCTCTACTACACCCAGGTGCTGTCTGGGTCCCCAAACTATAGCCAGTCTAGGCTGGAAGGGGACCCTCCCCGTTGCGTCCTCACCCAGCTGTGGCCGCACAAGTGCCCAACGGTCACCGTGCCCTCACGTGGCAAGAGCAGCAACTCCCAACCCCCACCTACTAGGTTAAAGGTCAGTCAACACTCACATGACCACAAAGGGCAACAAGGACCCAAACGGAGAGCGGGCCTTTTAGTAAGCAGGCTCCGCCACTCGGGGAGTAAGGCGGCAAGGTTAAGGAGGAATCTGTTACTGGAAAAAAATATTTTCTTAAACCTTGTTAACTAGTGTTTTGAAGACCTGAAAAGCAACCACCGTGTTCTTCTGAAGAAGACGCCACACACTGCACCCGGTTTTATGAACGGACTTCTTTTAAGGGAGAGCTAATGAAAGTTCCACATCGAATCAGTTTACCGAGGACAGTGGGGAACAAAACAGAATTTCTAAGTTCCATGAGAAGCTGAAAACAAGACCAAAATACTAACGTCATTTCATAACGGGGAAGAAGGCTGGAAATTCTAAGAGAATGGAGTAGAAATGGGTTTCAGTGGCCGTTTAGAAAACTATAAACCCATCTCAATGAACAGCAAAGAACTAGAGGACAAGTTCACTGGAGGCTTATGTGGCCAGACACTGAGGTGACCAGTATAGGCACCAGAACCCAAACCCCGGAGTTCAGAATAGCCCTGCAGGTGGGTCTTCACGGCTGCACCACACTCAGGTACAGGTGCTCCTCTCCATTCTTTGGAATCCATGAGACACACTCCACTGTGTACCAAATCCCACCCACATTTCAGCTCCACAGGTTTCACCTCACCACCCGTTTAAAAGAAAAAAATAATTCAGCCTTTTAACATAACCCTTCTGAGAAAGCAGGGTCTTTTTTTTTTTTTTTCCTCTTCTCATAAAAGAAGGTAATTTCCTCATCTGGTTTTTAGGTTGACATAGCAGTCTTCAGGAGTGCCAAAGATATTCTCCTGGGGGGATGACACTTGTGCGGTGGGGTGGCAAGGTCTCCGAGCGAGCATCAGTTGGTGTCCATGTTGTAAGCCTCCTCATCCCCCACGCCCTGCTGGGAGCTGCTCAGCCTCACCCCTCCTTCAGAACAACTGGGGAAGCTGGGGAGCGAAGATACACGGGAACAGTCATCATCCCGGCGCTGGTAAAACAGGACGTAGGCGGCCTTCGTCTACAACACAAGGAGGGGCCGTTTACTCAAAGTCACCCCACACACACTTTTCTCAGTGCTCCCCATTATTAACCTCACGAAGCCCTTGCCTATAAGCCCAGCAAGGGCAAGACCCTGGAAAGTTCAAGTTCAAGTCCAGCCTGGGCTTCAGAGTGAAAATCTGTCTCAAAAAAAAAAAAAAAAAAAAAAAAAAAAAAATCAATCTTAGGGATTTGGAGAGATGGCTCAGGGGTAAGAGCACTGCCTGCTCTTCCAGAGGACCTGTTCAATTCCCAGAACCCACATGGTGGTTCATAACCATCTGTAATGAGGTCTGGGGCCCTCTTCTGGTGTGTAGGCATACATGCAGACAGAACATTGTATACATAATAAATAAATAAATCTTTAAAAGAAAATCATACACACCTGTTATCCCAGCACTCAAGAAGCAGAGGCAGGAGAATTACACTAAGTTTGAGGCTAACGTGACGTACAAAGTGAGTTTCAGACCAGCCAGAGATAGATAGGATGACCCTAACTCAATAAACAAACACACTGAGTGCGTGAAGCAATGAACACCTGCCATCCTGCCCTGCATGTCCACACCCCGGAGCAGCTGCGAAGGCCCCTTTGCCAGCTGCCTCCTGATGCCATGGCTGTGGAGAAAGGCAGGCGCACGGTGGCGCAGCAGCTCCGGAAAGATGGAGAGTGAATGCAGTCACTGCACTGCACCCAGATCCCCTCCAGATGAGGAGGTAACCATAAAGCTTTTGCTTTTGATTTGCTGGGACAAAGGAACAAGTAGCTACCTCAGAAGGGCACTCACCACTATCTGATCCTCAGAGGCCAAGGACACATTGCTGTCATCAAAGTAATACCACTTCCCGTTCAGCTTGTTCTTCGCATATGCAGTGTCTGCCAAGTTACAAACAAAATGCTCTAATGGCCACCACAAAAAAATAATCTGGTTATTTTACAGGGCTATCATATGCTCATACCCCAAAGTATTACCATTGAAACTAAGAAAATAGACAGGCAGTGGGAATCCACTCAAGAAGCAAATACAGGAGTACTCCCCCAAGTTCAGAGCAGACCTGGCCAAGTCTAGGCAGGGTTGCATACTGAGACTATGTATCAAAACAGAAAAACCAACAACAAATTCCATAACTAATTAACAAAATACATACACACATATAGGTAATAATAATTTATGGTTTTTACCCCCAGGTGAGGGACCAAACCCAGGGCCTTGTGCTTATTAGCCAAGTGTAAGCTAAATCCCCAACCCCTATGACTTGTGTTTTTCTGTTTTGCTTTTGTTTTTGAGAGACAGGGTTTCTCTGTGTAGCCTGGCTGCCCTGGAACTCAGAGATCCTCCTGCCTCCTCCTCCTGCTGGTATTAAAGGGTGCACCACTACCGCACAGTGGGAATACTTCATCTTTTTTTCTAATCTGGACCATTCAGAAAAGCTAGGAAGGCTAAGCACAGAGCTGTCAAAGACCAAGATCACCTATACTTTTGGGACACTCATCAACAAAACAAAGCTACTTAATGTTAGCATCTGAACAAAAAAATCTTTACCTGCTGAGCCATCTTGTCAACTCTAGTGTCTATTTTGAAACTCTCTTTGTAGACCAGACTGGCCTCAAACTCACAGAGATCTACCTGCCTCTGCCTCCAGAGTGCCACCACGCCCGGCTATGTTTATTTTTCAATGAAGATTTATTACTTAAATTACTGAGGGTGGTGGGGAGGAGACAGGTGTACGGTGCCCACAGAGGTCACGCAGTGGTATTGGGTCCCCTGCAGCTACAGTTACAGGCAGCTGTGAGCCACCTGACTGTGGGACCTGGGAACTAAAATCAGGTCCTCTGGAAAAAGTGTTCTCCGCTACTGAGCTATCTCTCCAGCTGCCCCAGTGTCTACTGGGTGGCTGTGATCAGTGCTGGAGACATACACATCACAGTGATACAGCACTTGTCTAAGATTTTCTTCAGTATGCCAAACAAACAAAAATGGCCGTAAGTGTAATCCAGAGCCACAGAGAGACTGGGAGGAGTTGATACTGCTAAGATTTAAGCAAAACAAGAGCAGACGGCTACCATCTTCAGTAGAATGCTCTGGGAGCCTCTGGAGCCCATAGGAGAGCATCAGTTAGGAAACAGTGTCCATCTGGGATTGCAGAGCATGTGAACAAGAAGCCCTTTTTAGGTTGTTTTTTTGTTTTTTGTTTTGCTTTGTTTTTCGAGACAGGGTTTCTCTGTGTAGCTTTTGCTGTCATAGACCAGACTGGCATCTAACTCAGAATCTGCCTGCCTCTGCCTTGTGCTGGGATTAAAGGTGTGCACCACCATACTTTAAGCTAAAGAGCTTTAAATTTTAAATTTCTTTTTTTCTGGGCAGCTGTGACTGAGAGTGTGCTGGAAGTGCAGCTCAGTGGCCGGACTACTTATCTAGGATGCACAGGCTCCAAATTCTATCCCTAGCCCTGCAGGATTGGGGGAAGAGAACCAACACCCCCTTCAAAACTGGTACTGTAATTAAAGCAAAGTTGGAAGGCAGGAGGATTACTGTGAGTATTCTGACAGCCAGAGCTACACAGAAAGAAATTGTCTCAACATAGAACACAAAGTTTTCGTTAAAGTGAACCTAAATGATACATAAACTCTGGGAAATAGGCCAAAAGAAAAACTTTATTATGTTCGCAGGTATGGTGGTGTGTTCCCATCATCCTAGCACATAGTGGCTAGGGTGGAAAGAGCAGGAGCTCAAGTCCACCAAGGGCTCCTACAAGTTACAAGCCAGCCTGGGCTACTGTGAGAGACCGTCTCAAAACCAAACCAAATTAAAACAAAAACCAACGAATTTTGGCATCTCTCCTTCCATGGTTCTGCACCCTTTGTATTTTCTCGGACTTTTATGACACTAATTTTGTGCAGCTGTTCTCAGAGGCGCTTCCCCATGCCATTAACTTTAATTTGAAATGGCTGAGAAGTCTCTGATCAAGCACCTGAATGGCAATGTCAGCTGTGCTCTGCCCCAAAATGCTATCACCAAGACCGGTGCTATACACAGGTGACTGAGCAGGTGTAGGGGCCTACAGCTTTAATCCAGCACTTGGGAGGCAGAGGCAGGCAGAAATGTCCGAGACTGAGACCAGCCTGGTCTACAGAGTGAGTTCCATGACAGGTAGGGTTATGTGGAGAAAACCTAAACTGAAAGATCAGCATAAACAAAGGCAAATGTTTTTGTGCATAAAGCTCTGTCAAGTCATTGCCTTAGGAGGGATCGGTAAACCCAGCAGGGTACCTCACGCCTGTAACCCCCTTACTGGAGAGGTTAAGGTAGAAGGACTGCCAGGAGTCCCAGACTACCCTGGCTGGACTACATGAAGAGCTCCAGGCCGACATGAGCTCATCAGTGGGACTGTCTTGGGAAAAAAAAAAAAATTCGGAATTACCACTACTGAATTAAATAATATGGAAATTTAGACAGGAGAAAGGAAGGAGGACAAAGGATTGAGAAACCCCACAAGCCAGGTGCTTATGGCAGAGCCTGGCACCCAGAGAGAGCACAAGGTAGGGCATTTCCACACCTCAGAAGGAAGCAGATGCCAATACTTACAGTGACCAACCCCCATGGCTCCATAATGATTGGATACAGCAATTAGGTCATAAACATAAGGCCTTGCTGACCGGTCACAGACAAACTCAGACATGTTCAGAGCTCTGAGTAAAAAACATAATAGCCCATAAATACGTTAAACTCCCAGAAGTCAGTGTAACCCAGCAACCCCTCTCACCAGAGCACTCAACTGTGTGCGAACTAGACCAGGGCTTCGACCATTTGTCAGACCAGACACTGGGAGGGGCTAAGCCATGGCACTACCACAGCATGTGAGGTCGTGGCAGGGGAAGGAAATGGCACAGAGGAACTTAGCACCTGAGTGGGTTCAAGGTAATCTCCACTTTGGACTCTCCCAGATGTGCCCACCTCTGGCTATTCTCTCCCACATATCTATAATAAACTTTCTCCTCCACCATACTTAGGAGCGGGCATGTTGTTTCTTTCCTTTTCTTGTTTTCATTCACCTGGTGCAGAAACTTGGGAGGGGCTTAAATGAGTTCCCTCCTCCAAGGAACTTCTGAACCAAGCTGCCGATCTGGCTCTCCCAAGCTATGCATGGATAATTTGTTTCTGCAGGCTTATCTACCCATCAAAATTGATTTTAGAGTCTGCTTCTAAAACTCATCTCCTTGCAGGCTGCAGTGCCTTCTGGGCCACCCACCACACGGGCATATCCCTTCTATGCCCTGCTTGACCCTCCCACCACATGGGCAATATTCTCACTAAGACACACCTTTCCCGATGTTTTCTCTTCTACCTGCTCTAACCAATTGTCACTCCCCTTCTACTGGCTAAGTGTCACTATGAAGCTCCCTGCTCCATCTGCCTTACAAGCCACACTGCTACACCAGGAAGCTTCCTTGCCCTGCTGGGCCCCTATCACAGAGGAAAGGAGTCTTCTGTGACTTGGGACATCTCTCTCTGATCAGTCAGCCTGGGGACGCCCTGGGTTAAAATTGTTACCACAACACTTAACCCTCTCTGATCCCTCATGGCTCCTTCCTAGAACTTTCTCACCTCCCCCAGGAGCTGCCTGCCAGTCTGCAGCTTCTCTGTGCTTTTGTGGCTTCTATGACACTGGAACCCTCCCTCTGGTGGAGTTCCTGCTTGTTCCCCCCTGTCCCTTGTGGCTGCACTGTTCTCTTAGCTAACCCTCCCTATGTTGGAGTTCATTCACCACCTTTCCCTCTTCAACTCAATTCCCTTCTTGAACTCAACGAGATTTTCTTTTAAACCCTCACTGTCTTATTGAAAACATCTTGGCTCAGCATTGCTCACTGGCCAAACAATTGGAACTCACTCAAGTTCCAAAATCTCCTAAATTTTAAGAATTTCTGCTCCTGCACAAGCAATGATCCTGACTTCCCTTATCTCTAAGGTTTTACAGCTTCCCACTCTCGAATCTTTCATCTTGATGACTAGCTTTGCTCTCGAATCTTTAAGGACTATTGTGTAAACAATTGTTATCTCAAACCTACTACAATCTGTACACCTAAAAAACTAATCTAGAGGGAGGTCTCTGGCTAAAATGCTCAATCCCCATTTAGAAAGGCAAAGAGGATGGGCATCAGAAGAAGAAAACAGGAAACAAGTCAGGAGCCTCCCACAGAGTGCCGCTGAAAGGCTCTGCCCTTCAGACTAGCAAGGCAGATGCTGAGACTTATGGCCAAACTTTGGGCAGAATGCAGGGAATCTTATGAAAGAAGTGGGAAATAGTAAGATCTGGAGAGGACAGGAGGTCCACAAGGAGAGCAACAGAACCAAAAAATTTGAACACAGAGGTCTTTCCTGAGACTCATACTCCAACCAAGTACCAAGTACCATGCATGGAGATAACCTAGAACCCATGCACAGATGTAGCCCATGGCAGTTCAGTGTCCAAGTGGATTCCATAGTAATGGGAACAGGGACTGCTTCTGACAGGAACTGATTGGCCTGCTCTTTGATCACCTTCCACTGAGGGGGGAGCAGCCTTACCAGGCCACAGAAGATGACAATGCAGCCACTCCTGATGAGATCTGATAGATTAAGATCAGAAGGAAGAAAAAGAAACCCTCCCCTACCAGTGGACTTGTGGAAGGGCATGTGTGGAAAAGAGGGAGGAAGGGAGGGATTGGGAGGGGAAGAGGGAGGGAACTAGAGGGGGGATACAAAGTAAATAAAGTATAATTAAAAATAAAATAAAAAAATTAAAAAAAAAAAACAATTGTTATCTCAAGACCGATTTGTAAATTCATTGGGTATGCTTAAAAAACCAGTAAAATCTGTAACAAAATTTGGCTTTAAACTTAAAAGTCTTTTTGTTTGTTTTTTTGAGACAGGATTCCTCTGTAACAGACCTGGCTGTCTGGATCTTGTAGACCAGGCTGCCCTCAAACTGCAAGTGCTGGTAATAAAGGCGCCTACCCCGACGCTAAGTGCTCAGCTTTTAGAATCCTGTTCTTAGTGCTTAACTCTCTAATAAAGCCAAATACAAGTAACTGTGAGCCAAGTGCAGTGGCTGATGAGCTTTAAGATATAAGCCACATGACTGGCAGCCATCTTTATTTACTAAGAATAAAGAGTACATGCCATTAACTCCACCATCCTAAGATGACTATGGTATAAAGCAACAATTATAAAACTTCTCAGTCCTACTGAGCCCTTAGTTTATCACTGTATCTTCTTTTAGACTAAGGAAGCAACAAATCTCAAATAGTTTGGATTACTACGGATTTTTGTATGATGAAAAATTTAAAACATACTATATATGTGGTTCAACTCTGGTTAATAATATACTCTAGGGCTGGAGAAACAGCTCAGAAGTAAGAGCACTGGCTACTCTTCCAGAGGTCCTGAGTTCAATTCCCAGCAGCCACATAGTGGCTTCACAACTACCTACAATGAGATCTGGTGCCCTCTTCTGGCATGCAGGCATATATGTAGACAGAATACATAAATAAGTGAGCAAGTCTTTAAAAAAAAAAAAAAATATGCTCAGGGCTGGAGAGATGGCTCAGTGGTTAAGCGCGCTGACTGCTCTTCCAGAGGTCCTGCATTCAATTCCCGGGAACCACATGGCGGCTCACAACTATTTTTAATGGAATCTGATTCCCTCTTCTGTATGTATGAAAACAGAACATTCATATTTATAAAATACATAAATCTTTAAAAAAATACTCTATATGATGATAAACTTTTAAGGTTATAAAGGTTTATTTAGATTAATAAAAGCTGACTTAAGATGTTTAATTACTTAAACAAGCTGCTAGAAAACTTAGATAGCAACATATCTTTGCTAAATAAGGCATATCTGATAGATATCTTTAGTAAATAAGATATATTTGATAATCAAGATTTATGAATTCTATTCATTTCACAGTAATATTTGTCTAGCTTCTCTGTCTTTTGCTTACTTTAAGCTTTAGCTACTTGGATAAACTAAATCATAACAACATAAATAAATAATATAAAGGCAATATTCTATTCTATAATGGTATATCTGGTGCCTGGAAAAAGTCCTTTTTCCAAGGTTGACCATTTAACAAAAGTCCTCCATTACTTCAGAGGCTTGAAGAAAGTTCTTGCTTGCTAAAAAGAGTCATTCTTTCCTCTTCTTGGGCAAGAGGGACTTGTGGTCCCTCCATTAGCGTACTGGCAACCTATCAACTTGTCATAATCAACGTTAGCCTCTAGGCTCCTTCAGTCCCCACCTATGTCCCCTCTCACCCTGAAAACTGTGCTTCTCCCTGCTTACCCTGGAGAGTGTCTTGGTAGTTTGAAATAAACATTTTCCCCTTTCACCTATGGATGGCTATTTTTGTTTCTCTATTGTGCTCATTTTCAGAATCAGTAAAATTGCCAGTCTCCCTATGGACCTTTTAATCTATGATTAAAAGTTTTATAAAGAGCTTCAATAATAAAAAAAAATTGCAATTCTTAACTGGGTGTTGTGGCACACACCTTTAATCCCAGCACTCAGGAGGCAGAGGCAGGAAGATCGCTGTTAGTTTGAGGCCAGCGTGGTATATTAAAAGATTCCAGGACAGCCAAGGCTACACAGAGAAATCAAGAAAGGACAAAAAAAAAAAAAAAAAAAAAAAAAAAAAAGGCTCAAATTAAACAGAGATAAAGCTGCAAAACCCTAAGCTTTTCCTTCTACCATGGAGCCTAGAGACCACACTCAGGTCATCAGGTTTGTGTGGCTTAATGAGTGCTCTCAATGAGCTGTCTCATCAGCCCATTTTGAATTTATCAAAAATACATTAAAGGAGTCAGACATGGTGGCATACACTTCAATCCAGCACTCAGGAGACAGACTAGCATTTCTCTGTGAGTTCAAAGCCAGCCTGATCTATACAGCAAGTTCCAGAATAACCAGGGCTGCACAAAGAAACTGTCTGGAAAAAAAAACAAAAACAAAAACAAAAAAACAAACAAATAAAAAAGAAGGGGCAAAGGAGAAGAAGAGGGAGAGAGAGTGGGATTGGGAGGGGCTATAGCTGGGATACAAAATGAATAAACTGAAATTAATAAAGTAAAAATTTTTAAAAGAAAGAGGTAAAGAAAGAAAGAAGGAAGGGAAGAAAGGGAAAGGGAAAAAGGGAAGGGGAAGGGGAAGAAGGGGAAGTAGGAGAAGAAGGGGAAGGAAAAGAAGGGGAAGGGGAAGGGAAAGAAGGGAAAGGGGAAGGGAAAGAAGGGGAAGGGAAAGGGAAAAAGGGAAAGGGGAAAGGGGAAGGAAAGGAAGAAAGAGAGAGAGAAAGAAAGAAAGAAAGGAAGAGAAAGAAAGGAAGAGAAAGAAAGAAAGGAAGGAAGGAAGGAAGGTAGGTAGGAAGGTAAAGGAAATTTTAACCAGCAAGGCCTTGAACTCAAATGATCCCCCTGCCTTGGCAAGGGATTACTAGCAGACGAAGCCACAATCAGATGAGGAATAGTTCCGCTGAGTAGACTAGCCTCTGGTGCCATGCTCCTGTTAATGAGAAGCAGCACTGAGCCTGTGCTATGCTGGTTGACAGCAGTGATGGAGCAGCAAAGTGCACATAGACTGGTGTGAGGCTTCAAGAGGGGGATTGGCAGTGACAGTCGGTAGGACTCTTTCCTTCTATTAGTGATTTTTCCCACTAGTGGGTGGGTAGGGAGAGAGGAAGGATTGCTCCACAAGTCAATCTCCCAGAGCCAAGAAATAGACAACCTAATTCAAGCATCCTCTCACCCAGTCAGCACCCTTGCAGACACCCACCTGACTGGGAATTCCACAACTGTGTCAAGTTTATCCCGCCAGTATCTGTTATAAGAGAAACGTTTGAGATGAACCACCAGGATCTTGGGCAAGGACCACAAGTCAAACTTCTTTGTCGCCTGCTGGTGCTTCTTACAGGTGGGACAGTACCTGAAGAGAAGAGAGAACACTGACATAGTCTGGTCAGCAGGAAACCACATGGGTACTTGTGTGGGGACACAGCTATAATGTCACAAGAACTATCCCTTCAGGCAGGATGCAACCCCAGTACTTATGAGCAACGACTGGCCTTCTCAACAGGGCAATGGCTTTTTCAGTCCAGAAAACACAACCTTCACACACACAAATGTAAAGATGACCTGTCCAGGTACAGTAAAGGGTTTCTGGGCACAGAGATGGTCCCAGCAAACATGGGCTCAGAGTGTGGGGACTTGCATACCAGGGATCATGCTCCCCAAGGGTCTCCATGGTGGTAAAGAGCTCGATGCACTCTCTCAGGGCCACTGCAGCCTTCTTCTTCTTCTGAGGCTGCGACATGCTGACGTGCTTCTCACAGGCCTGTGACAGAGAAGCATTGAGTTCTGGTAGAGAAATAGCTTCCCGGCTCGAGATGCAGAGGCTCTCTGCCTGGGAAAAACTAGATTTTCTGCAGCCTCTGGACACAAAATGACAAAGCCTTGGGCGCTTTTCATTTCAAGTAATAAAGAAAACTTGTGATACTGTTGTCCAATCAGTGAGAGGAATAAAGTAATATATTCAAGAGCAGAAACCCCAAATGACCTACCTCAGCTTCTTGCTCATCATAGTAAAGGCTTCGGGCCTCACTGTCCCAGTCAATGGCCAGTGTGGATCGAGCTGCGGAGGAACCAGAGTGGCACTTGTTAGGGAGGGACCAGCCACCAGAGAGGCCTCCAAGGGCCCAGAATGAGAAGGGTCACACTTAGGCGCGCCACTACACCTTCTGCCCACTACCAGCCCCTGAGGAGAGCAATGCTAGGCCTTGGGGCAGCCCTGGTCACCCCAACCTCCCAAAGCTTTGGACAAAGTCTCCCTTAGTGCTACAGAAAACCCCAACAACCAGAATCTGACAGGGTGTGCATAGAATGGAGATGGAGTGACTGATCCTCTTGACGAACCACAAGAAAATCTGACACAACAGATAAAGTACTGTTTTCCATCACTGGACAGACACCAGGCACAACAACGATCCCTGAAAGATGAAAAATAAAGTAACCCCTACCCTCTCCCAGTTTACTACTGGCAAGCACCCCAGGGCACAGGTGAAGCGAGGCAGCAAAGAAGACTGAATTAAGGAAGCAAAGTTAAAACTGAGAGAACGGTGTGGTGGTTTATGCTTACAATCTCAGCCTTTAGAAAGCAGAAGCAGGATCAGGAGTTCAAGATCATCCTCAGGAAAAAAAAAAAACAAACAAACAAGAGAGGTTGGGTGCAGTGCCACACACTCTTAGTCCTAGAGCTCAGGGAGGGAGAGGCAGGTGAATCTCTGTGAGTTCAAGGCCAGCCTGGTCTACAAAGTGAGTTCTAGAATAGTGAAGGTTGTTACACACAGGAATTCTATCTCAAACAAACAAACCCATAAAGGTAGATGGCTTGTTGGTGAAGTGGCTGCTGAGCAAGCATAAGGACCCAAGTTCAATACAAGCACACAAGCAGAAAGGCCAGGCATGGTGTAGATGCTTATGATCCCAGTGCTGGAGAGGGAGGCAGAGGCATATCTCTGGGGATGGCTGCATTCCAGGTCTTTAAAACACCTTGTATAGACAAGCAAGTGAGGGCTGATAGAGATAGCTCAGCAGTGACTGCTCTCCCAGAGGACCCGAGTTCAGATCCCTGTAACCATGTCTGGTAGCAATTCTTAGTTCCAGGGACTGCTCACCACACCCCACAAAGTAAGTTGTTGGGTTATTTAATGACATAACTTCTGTGGGGGGAAAAAAGGTGAATAACCAGAGGAATAACAACCAAAATTGACCTCTGGGCTACACATGCACACATGTAAACACACATACAAAAAGCTACATTTAAAGTGGGCAGTGGTGGCGCTCCCCTTTAGTCCCAGCACTCAGGAGGCAGAGGCAGGCGAAATCTCGGTGAGTCAGGCTGGTCTACAGAGTTCCAGGACAGCCAAGGCTACACAGAGAAACCCTGCCTGGTAATAAAACAAGACCACACAAACTAAAAGCCAACTTGAAGCGCTTACTAGAATTTAACAGACCCTAAAGTAAAAAGAAGGAAATCACAGAGAACAAAGTTGCAATTGGACAGAATTATAAAAATACCTCAATTATGCTGTTTTAAAAACATGTAAAGGGGCTGCCGATATGGCTCTGGGGTTAAGAACACGTTCTGCACTCACAGAGGACCCAGGTTCAGCTTCCAGCACCTACAGAGTGGCTCACAATGGTCTGTACCCAGTTCCTGGGGATCTGATGGCCTCTTCTGAGCTTTGTGAGCATGAGGCATGCATGTAGTATGCATACATACATACAGGCAAAAATTTAAAAAGTAGATAATGTCTACAAAAAGGGGGATAGGGACTACAGCTCAGTACTAGAACCTTTGCTTTGTATGTATAAGTCCCTAGTACTATGAAGTAAATAAGTGAAAAATTTAAAAAGATGAAGGAGGCTGGAGAGATGGCTCAATGGCTAAAAGGCCTATCTGCTCTTCCAGAAAACCCAAGTTTAATTCCCAACACCCAATGGCAGGTCTTGACTGTCTGAACTTCCAGTCCCAAGGGATCGGATTCCCTCTTCAGGCCTCTGACGGCACTCACATGCTGCAGAACACACATGCAGGTAAAACAACCATTCACAAGAAAGTGTTTTGAAAGGGATGGGTCGGATTGGAAAGTTGGTTCAGTGGTGAAGATCATTTGCTGCTCTTTCAGAATAGGGTTCAGTCCCCAGTACCCAAGTTGGGAGGCTCAGAACTTCTTGTAGCTCTAGCAACTCTGCAGGCACCAGGCCCACACATGGTACACACACTTACACGCAATGTAAACACAAGAAAACACTCAAACACATAAAAGATTCAAAATTAAAATGACAGAAAGGAAGAGCAGAGAGAAAGAGAGGGGGAAATAAAAAGCAGGGAGGGTAAAGTACCAGTAGTTAACTAGTTAATTTCTTCCCTAAAAGAAGGTGAGAGACAGAAGGTGCAGCTCCTGCCCTACCACGGAGACGTCACACATGACGCATGTCCACAACCAGGGGTGCCTCCTCCCAAGCACACAGCTGCCCTGATTACAAAGCTCCACATAGCTAGCTCCAGCTGCATCAGAAAACTGAGTATTTTACTGAACCGATGGACGTATTCTTCTTAGGAGTGCAACAAGTCTACAGAAGTGCTCTTAACATGATCACAAGAATACCTAAGCCACAGGAAAGGTTTTGCAGAGCAAAGGAAGCCTGTTTGCTTCCAAGGTCATCAAGAGTAAAGATGAAAGTTGTGCCTAAAATCCAAGGACTCGTGAGCTGGAGACACGAAGATCAGAAGTTCAAGGCCAGCATCAGCTACATAGTAAGCCTGAGGCCAATATTTTTCTTTTTTCTGTCTTTTTTATTTCTTTTTCCAGACAGGGTTTCTCTGTGTAGCTTTGGCTGTCCTTGAACTCACAGAGATCTGCCTGCCTCTGCCTCCTCAAGTGCTGGGATCACAAGTGTGCACCATCACACCAGGCTTGTCGGAGGCCAATTTAGACCTACAAGAAACTATGTCTCTTGGGATAAGAGACGGATCACTGGTTAAGGGCACTTGTTGCTCTTGCAGAGGACCTGAGTTCAGATCCCAGAATCTACTTGGTGGTTCACAGCTGTAATTTCAGTTATAGGCGATTCCATGCTCTCTCTTCCAGTCCCCATGGGCACCAGGCACATATGCAGTGCACTGACATACAAGTAAATAAACCATCATACACATAAAAATATTCAGAGGAAAAGAGAGTGAGAGAACAAGAATGCTTGTCTCAGACTTAACCACCCCCACTACCAAAGAAATAAGGTGAAAATCCCTTTAAGGATGTGCCTGTCATCAATCATTCTCGAAGGGACTCAAATGTCTGGTCCTAGAGCTCCATAAAGATAGTTAAAACCTGATGTAGTTGACATCAAATGAAATGACTTTCAAAGAGAGCCTAAGTGCCCGCGTCTAGCTGAAAGGGCAGTGGAAGCACTTACAGTTAAGTTTTAGTAGTTTCCCGTCAGTTGCCAGTGAATTGATATCAGTGGTTCCACAGGAGTTCACAAGACTGAAGGTGAAAAGCCTCCTGTGGCGTGGCTGGCCTTTCGCCTTCCTCTGAGTGGTCTCACTAGGGTCATCTCCCTGTTCATCCTCACCACTGCCTTCTGTTTCTGAAAGCTGCTCTTTCCCTTCCTCTTGATGATCCATTTCTTCTTCTTCATCTCCTGATACACATGAAAAACAATCTGTATAGGCCCACATTTCAATGTTAAAAACCTCTACTTAGCCAGGTAAAGTGATATCTATAACCCCAGCACTCAGGAGGCTGAGACAGGATAGTGAGTTCAAGGCCAGCCACAAGCAGACAGCAAGTCTGAGGTTGGCCAGGCCTACATGAGACCCTGTCCAAAAACAACAAAACCCACAAATAAACAAATAAATCATAAAACATTTAATACTGAAATGCATTATTTCCTTACATATTTTGTTGCTGTATACATTAAAGTGCATCTACCCTTGTGCACCTCTAGAGTTATTAGGCATTTGATTTAACACGTGACTGTGTCCAACGGATAGACAAGCCATCTTACTCCATGAGGAAGCAGAGACTCAGAGAATGAATGAATGAATGAATGGATGGATGGATGGCTACACAGGGAAACCCTGTCTCAACAGACAAACATCTTATAATCCCAGTAGTTGTGAGGCCTGGGAAATAAAGCAAGCATAGGCTACATAGTGAGTTCTAGCAGCACCGCAACAGCCTTGGTACCCCTGCAGGCTCAGTGTGTCTGAAACACTGTGTCTAGCAGGAATCTAAGAGGATTCTACAAAGTCCAAACACTGATGACTGACAGACCCTACCCTCTACTAGGCCAGACTCAAACACTTCCATGTGTGTGATGCCGTCTAAGAAGAGGGGAATCAGGAGCAAGGTGGCCATCACAGCCCCATGCCTCATAGCAGGAATGCTCACCTTCACAGCTGCCCCTGGAGCCATTGCAGGCCCCAGGCTCCAAGGGTGAGCTGAGAAACTCATCAGGCAAAGGCTGCTTTATATAGCGGCTTAAAAAAAAAAAAAGAATATTAGTATTTTTCCACTATGCAACTATGAAGCAATACATAATTTACATATTTAGTTACTCACAAGCATAATGTAATAGCTCCTAAGAGATCACATGTTAACTTAATAAGCCAGTAATAATAGCAAGAAGGGCTGGTTTCAGTTCTTCTAGGAATGTCATGTGCATTATTTTATTTATTAGAAACAGGCTTTCGTGTCTCCCAGGCTGGCCGCAATCTGCTATATACCCAAGCATACCCTTTATCTCTGACCCACCCGCTTCCCCATCTCAAGTGCTACTATCCCAGGTGTGCACTATACCCAGACCGGGTTTGCAGGGCTGTGGAGACTGAACAAAGGGCTTTGTGGATGCTAGGCAAGCCCTCTTCTCTGCCAACTGAATGCCACCCGAGCACTTTCCACCCTACGATAGCTGGTAAGATTCTAGGAGCCAGTGACTGAACATGCCTGGGCTCCTGTGACTTAAGTTTGCCAGTTACCCCTACCCCGTAAGCCTCTGCAGTGGCCCTCCAGGGGCGGACACAATGCCATTCCTCACACAGGTGAGTTCATGGGATCAACAGAGAAACTGCAAGGGACTCAGCTGCTGGATCTATCCGTCTCAGATAACATCCAAATTACATTTCCAGTACCAACCTGATACGATCACAAACAGCCTGGTACAAAGACTCGAGCGTTAGCTTGTGCTTAGGGACAGAAACAAGAAGGGGCTGCCCATAAAGCACAGCCCCAGAAGAAGTACTTGATGGCCTGGACTTCTTCTCTCTGAAGTAGACTGGAAGGGTGATGCATTCCGAGCCATCCATGGAAGTGCTGCAGACCTCGTACCTGCAGGGGTCACGCGAGAGGGAACCTTCAGCAGCAGGTCCCTCTCGGCAATAGATGTAAGATGCAAATAGATGCATGGTGGTGAGGACTGTGGCTCTAGAAGACAGTGCCTTTTAGCAGAAAGGGGAGGTATGCCTTTTCCAAGGTGATTGCGAGATCAAGGACCACTGTCAACACACGTGAATCTACACACTCAGATTCTGGACTTAAACCACGGGCCATTCTCCCTGATCATCAAAGGATATGAGGATCATCATCTGCACCACCATGGAGAATTCATCTACAGTTTTACCTTTCTCTCACCAAAAAGCTCAACTTTTAAAAATTAATCAAGATTTTTAGTCTCGTTCTCTCTCTCCTTTCCATATCCCAGGCAAGTCTCAAATTTACTACATAACTAAGGAGAACCTTAAACTTTTAATCCTTCCACCCCCACCTTCCCAGTGCTGGGATTAGACACACCTGGTTTATTTCGTGGTAAGGATCAAACCCAGTACTTTGAATACACTAGGAAGCAAGCTACCCACTAAGTTATATTGCCCTCCTCCCTTTGTTTTTTGAGAGATGATCCCGTCAGGAAGCCCAAACTGCCCTAGAACGGTTATGTAGCCCAAGCTGGCCTTGAACTCACAGAAACCTTTCTGCCTAAATATCCCATATGCTGGGATTATAGAAGTTATCAAACCTGACTAATATCTGTGGATCTCTCTAGTTCTGGCAGGTCTCAAACTTGCAACTGTCCCTGAGTTAGGATGACAGCAACCTGACACCGTGCCTTGTTAAGAGCTCATCCCCCCCCCCCCTTTTTGGTTTCGAGACGGGGTTTCTCCGTATAGCCCTGGCTATGCTGGAACTTGTGCCCTCCCCCATTTTTGCTTTTAGGAAAGGTTTTCCATGCACTCCGGCTGCCCAGGAACTTACTGTGTTGGGCAGGCTGGTCTAACTTACACAGACCCACCTGTCTCTGCCTCCCAAGTGCTGGGACAAGGGCGTGCACCACCACACCCAGCCACACCCATTGTTTACAAATCCAGAAAAGACAAAGAAATTACTAAAGACAAACAATTGTGAACTCTGGTGTCTTAAAGAGTGAACCAATGGGACCAACCTGATAGGATCAGGAGACTTAGAGGTAACATTTGTTATTCTGGAAAAGAAGTTACCAAAATTACTGGCAACTGACTATAGTCTTTCCCTCTCCCTATATGAGCAAACACAAACTTACTGGTTCAAATTTCCTCTTCCCCAATGCCTGGTAGGTAGTCCTGATTACGATTCACGCAGGAAAAAGAAAAATTATTTCAAGATTTTTATTGACATTTGTGCATAAGCATTCATGGGTGCCTGGTGCCCTCAAAGGCTTAAAGATGTCACATGCCCTGGAACTGCTGTTACCGGCGACAGTGAGCTGCTGATGCAGGTGCTAGAAACTGAAGCTGCTCCTCTGCAGGAGCAATACTCACCGAGCTCAAGATCAGGCTCCAGGAAAGATGGCTGAAAAACTGTTTTTACGTGTGTGAGTATGTGTGTGTACAAGTGCACAGCACAGGTGTGGACATCAGAGGACAACCTGAGGGGGACCTGGTTCTCCCCTTCTATGTGGTTGTTAGGCTTGGCACCAAGTAGCCTTACCTACTGAGACACCTTGCAGGGCAGGACAGGAGGGACTTTTAAGAACAACTCACAGGATACATTAAGTGGAAAACTGTGAAGTTAGTGATGGTTAGCACCTGGGCCTTGAGTGAGGTTGGTTCACTGGGTCCAGGTTCACTGTCGTCCCTTCCAGGTCGAGTGACCCAGTGAAGCACGGGGTACCTGGTAAGATTACTGGCCTACCAGGATTACGGTGAGAGGTACAGTACAGTATGTAACATGGTTAAAAACACTATCTGTGGCCAGCTGCGATGGCACACACGCACACCCGGCACTCAGGAGGCCGAGGAGCGCAGTTCTCAGACTTTGAGGCCACCCTGGTCTACACGTTAAGTTTCAAGGCAGCCAGTGCCATATAGTGAGACCCTGTCTCAAAACAAACACCAACTCATCAACCAAACGCAACACCGTTCTCACAAGACAGTTCATTTTCTGTGTGTGTGTGTGTGTGTGCGCGCGCACATGTAGAGGTGGAGGCCAACACTGACATCCTGCTTAGCCACTCCCGACTTTTTGAGTCAGTGTCTGTTACTGAAGTTAGAGCTCACCACAGATAAACACTCACTGGCCAGAAAGCCCACCTCTACCTCCTTGGCACTGGGATTATAGGCATGTACCACCATGTCCAGCTATTTTCACAGGTGCTGGGAATCTGAACTCAAGCCCTCATGCTCGTGTGGAAAATGTCTGATTAACTGGACCATCTCTCCAGCCCTGCAAATGTGTATGTGCGTGTGTGTGCAAGTGCTTGTGTGTCCATGTGATGTATGTGCCGGTCAGAGGACAACTCCATGGAGTCGGATCTCTCCTTTACTGTGTGGATCCCAGGAGTCACACTCAGGTCTTCAGCCTTGTGTGGACACACCTTTGCCTGCTAAGCCATCTCAGTGATGCCCTTCTGCCACCCTTCTCTTGCCCTTTGAAATCAATTCACTTTTAAAATAATTTCATTTCCCTTGGACTGGTCCAAGTCCTCTAAAAACCTCCTTAGTTGGTGATCGTCTGCTTTCCAGAAAGATGCTTCACTTGCCCTTAGGTTAGGTATATGTAAACACTGGTTTTCAGAATTGAGACAGACCATATTCAGGGATTACAGTCAGGAACTTATGGAGCTGGCTGTGGGAGCAAACACCTACAATCTCAGAAGTTAGAAGGTGCCAGGTGGTGGTGGTGGCACACACATTTAATCCAAGCACTTGGGCGGCAGAGGCAGGTGGGTCTCTGAGTTTGAGACCAGCCTGATCTGTAGAGTGAGCTCCAGGCCAGCCAGGACTACACGAAGAAATGCTGTAGCCAACCTGGGCTGATTCCCCCACCAAAAGGAGGAGGAGGGGTGTGGGGGGCAAGAGGGATAGTTCAGTAATTAAAAACATGGTGGCTCACAACTGTCTGTAAGTCCACTTTCGGGGGATCCAACACCCTTTTTTGGCCTCTGAGGGCACCAGAGGTACACACATAAGTGCAGCCAAAATACCAACAAACATAAAGTAAAATAATTATTAAAAAATGAAAAGAAAGAGGAAGCTGGGCATGATGATACAGGCATTTAACCCCAGTTCTCAGGTGGCAGAGGCAGGTGAATCTTTGTGAGTTGAAGGTCAGCCTGGCTACAAATTCCAGGACAGCCAGGGCTGTTACACGGAGAAATCTTATCTCAAAAAAAGAAAAGAAAAAGAGATGGGAGGTAGCTCCATAGGTGAATACACCCTGCTGCTGTCAAGACTGATTACCCGAGTTCTATGCCCAGGACATTTCCTGTGGCAGTAGAGAACTGACTTTCATATGCTGTCCTATGACCTCCACATGAGCACTGTGGCATGTGTACAATCTTTCTTTCAAAAACTTTCTCACACATGCTGTCCTGTTCTAGAACTCACTCCATAGACCAGGCTGGCCTAAAACTCGGGAGACCCACCTGCCTCTGCCTTCCAAATGCCGAAACTAAAGGTGTGTGTCACCACCTCCTGGTCAGCTGTGGCACTGATTGAACAAGGAGCCTCTGACAGCAGAGCCACTGAATTAGTTCTCTTAGCAAACTAAAACTATTGACAAAGCTGTGCTTGTGCAGGACTCTGTGGGGCCAAAAGGTTCTAGTACTGACAGATGTCCTGTCTCCTGAACATGTACCTCGAAGCCAGGTACTAGGACAGATACACATGAGCGCCTGGCAAACAAGGCAAAGCCTCCAAAATGTTTCCCCTGATCATGTATCAGAAACTGCTAAGTACTTACACAAAAATGTCATCTCGAGGCATGATGTGGCTTAACCCTTCATCCATTTGGAAAATTTTGTGGAATCGGTGATTATATACGTCGGTGACCACCATCTAAGAATAGAGTACAGAAAGATGACAGGATGGCTCACAGAGCTCCTGTTCACTGATTAAAACCCAGAAATAAAGGGTAAAAATGCTGTGCTCAGAGAACCTGCGGAGAACCAACATGTGAGGGGTCCCAGGGAGAGGGCCAGGATCTGAAGGAGCAGCCGGGCAGTTAGCAGCAATGGCTGCGTTGGGAACACCTGCCCTCAAGTGCTAGAAATGAAGAGAAGTGAGTGCTGACCAGAGACCGGTCACTGCCTACAAACCCCAGGGGCTTTGCAGAGCTAGTCTCCATGGCCCCCACAGCACACAGCGATGAAAGCAGAGCCCTACTCTTCTCCTTCCGGCAGCACTATCACAGTGGAAGAAGATCCCTTCCTGTGCTGGAAGGGATCATGAGCATGGCCAGGAGTGGTGAGGTATCCAAGACATAGACCAATGATCACACTCCCAAAGAGTTTGAGGGGAAACTCCAAAGGCCATAAAGTGACTTCACGGTGTCGAGGGCCAGCAAAGACTCCGCCTTACATTTTCTGCAGCGATGCCAGACAGCTTGGAGAGTGCTTCACACAGGTCAGAAATGGCCCCCATCAATGGCACTGTCACACGGTACTGCAAAAGAGAAACAGCAAAGATGACAGGAGTACTTCAGAAGAGATAGGAAATTACCTGGGACACACTGTGGGGACACAAGGACTCTTCCAGAGGCAGTGCATGGCCCATGAGTCATGCAGCCAGCTGACACAGCCAGTCTTTAGTGTTAGCATAGCTGCAACACTCAATCACCTTCTTTCCCCCCAAATATTGTTTTTGTTTACCCTTTACTTTTTGGATTAGGTCACTATTTCCTTTTAAAAAAAATGTTAAAAGCATAAAAACCGCCATTTAATACTATGTGTCACTTTCCTTCCTTTTTTTTTTTAAGACAGAGCTTCACTGTGTAGCCGTGCACAGGCTTCAATCTCCCAGGTATCTGCTCTAGCTGCCCTTGCCTCCCGTGAGTGCTGGGCGGAAATGTGTGCACCCGCCACCACACCCAGAAGGTATCTCCTTGCCCCCCGCAGAATGGGGCATGGAGACCCACTGCCCACCACCCTCATCTGGCTGGCTCTCCTACCCGATTTGAAGACCAACTTAGAGAACCTCTACTGCATCCTCCCCAACATTCAAGGACTATTAGCAGATAAACCAGATTACTACAGGTGCATGATGGGAAAGTGACAGAGAAATCCCAAGGACCTTCACAAACAGGTCCTAAATAATGGGCTTACACAAAGGTCTGACAGCGGCCAAGGGTGCACACACTCAGACTACACCCAAGGGGACCCAGGAATGGTTGATGGAGGTCCCCATGCAGCAGACGGAAAGCAGCGTCATTAGGGACCAGGGCCCACTCAGTGAAGGCCGTTATGAAAGAGAGGATTCTGTTACCTGGATAGGTCTGCACTGAGGGTCAGCAGGAACTAGGAAGACCTCCATAACTCGATCCTTCTTCAAAGGCAGTGGGAGAGTTAGATAGCAAAATGGGTCAAAGGTCACAGAAACTTTAGCACATTCTGGGCAAACCAAAGTAGATTTGAAAAGGCCATGGAAAGTATCCACAATCACAGAATCATTCCTCAGCCTGTGATTTTCCCAGGCTTCCTTTGCTACCACCTGGATGAAAGAAGAAGGATTAAGTAGGAGATTCTCAACATCTGTCCTTTTCCCTGAATCCAGAATGTTTTATAACAAACACTGAGATGGACCAGAACGTAGACTATGAACAGCCAAGAGCTTTTAGTGTATCATACTCCCACCACAGGCTAGCTCTATACCCAATACCCATAACTTTGTCAACAGAGAATCTATGGAGAGTAAGGGCTCCTGAGAACACCACAGGCACACAGATCCAATTGAGGATAGAGCAATCCTTTTGTGTCCAATGATCTAAAGGCCCTTAGGGAGATTTGTGGTGGCTGTTGTTGTTTAGAACAGGGTTTCTCTGTGTAGCCCTGGCTGTCCTGAAGCTTATTCTAATGACTAGGCTAGCCTGCAACTCACAGAGATCCTCTCAGCCTTGGGGGACATTTTAATAAATGGTATATTTAAGCTAACTCGTGTTTTGGGGATTTTTTGTTTGTTTTCCTCTTTTTTTTTTTTTTTTTTTGGTTTCTCTGTGTAGCCCTGGCTGTCCTGGACTCACTTTGTAGACCAGACTGGCCTTGAACTCACAGAGATCTGCCTGCCTCTGCCTCTCTGAATGCTGGGAACGCAGTGTGTGCTACTGCGTCCAGCTTTAACTCATGTTTTTTTAAGATTTGAGTGCTACTTTCAAACATTCACATCAATTATTTCGATGCAACAGGGTTCCTAAATTCCCCTTATGTGTACCAGAAAAATCAAGACAACAAGTACGTAAATCTTAAATTTAGTTTTAATGAGATATTTTAATAATCAAGGAGAGAAGAGGCTAGTTTAGTGCTCTGGTGGCAAAAGACTCAAAATTTCTAGGTACCCTCAGTTACACAGTCTAATGCCAGCCTAGACTACTAATGAGATCCTGTCTGGTAACAAACTGGGCCTGGTAGCACAGGGCTGTAACCCTGGCTGCGTGGGAGGCTGAGGTCAAGACCACCGTGAGCAATTTAGTAAGGCTGTGTCTGAGATTAAAGACTATAGGTAGGCTATAAATATAGCCCAACAATACAGAACTTGCCCGATAAGAGTGAAGTTGGAGATTTACCACAGTACCACAGATAAATAAATAAAAACTGGATGAACTATAAAGAGCAGTGACAATGCTAAGAGCACGCTGTCAACATTTTAAAGTTTTTTTTGTTTTTTTTTTTTTTTCACTCGTGGCTTGTCAATAAAATACTAAACAAACTAACTCACTTGAAACCTGAGGAAATAGCTACAATTGCACTGGGATGTAGCTCAGAGGTTGAGTGCCTGTCTAGTACTCAGAAAGCTCTGGGGGGTTGATCTGGAGCACTGGGCAAGAAGAAAAGGCAACTAGAGTCAGCTCCCTTCTGACTAGGAATGCATCCCTGTCATGAGTAACAATTAAGAGGCAACCAGGGCCCTGGCACTAACCCCAACACCAGAAGACTGTTCCCATGCTGCCAATAGAAGGAAGTCTCTTTGGGATACTGTGCAGACAGCTTCAATATCATACCGCATCTGGCCGCCCGTTGGCATCCTTTGGCTCCAGGTAGGGCTTCTTCTTTACTCGGTTCAGGTCTTCATGCAATCCGTCTAGAATAAAGGCTAACAGCTCCTGAGAGTCTTGTTGTTGATAGCCAGAAAACTGAGGGGCAAAACGTCCCACTTGTGTCTACAACAAAAGCAACTCCATCAGGAGATATAATAAAATAGTACAGAAGGAAAAGAGCGAACAAGTAATGCCAGAAGGGGCCCTGCTCACAACTATAGCTTTACAGTCAGTTGGAACATAAGAACCTTCACCTGGGCAATGACAGTTCAACTAACTCAAGAACCACACCGAGGCCAATGGGCCCACCAGAGAAACAACTCAGGTCAGAGGGCCAACAAAAACACAGGCCTGAAATCAGGTCATTATCCTAACAGAGGGAAGGGAGGCATTCCCAGTTGATATATCCAAGTAGTGATATGCACCCACTTCAATGTCCTTTTGTGGTTCAGTGTTAAATTATAGAATTTAGAAACAATACCTGCATCAAATATGGGAGTCCTACACAAAACAGCCCCCACATCCCTAGATCTGACTATAATGCTCTCACCACCATCCTTGAAATGTAGTTCCCAGTCAGCAGCAGCAGCTCCTGGGAGCGTCTCAGAACGAATGCTAAGGGGCCCCACTCAGACCCAACCAGAAACTCCAGGGATGGGCCAGAGCCTCTTGTAATATGCTTCCCAGAAACAGCCTAAAACCTGATTGTAAGCACTGTTCTGTATCTGTGTTGTCTAATACTTTAGCCACTAATTGAGAGGTTATTTACATTTAAAGAGGCTGAAAATAAATGCAGGAGCTTCAATAGAGCTCAACTACACTTAATCAGCATGTGCAAAGTCCTGTCACATCCATAACACCAAGGAAAAAGTTATCACAATATACAATTGAGACTCTCTGGTAAAATTATAACTTTCTGTCTATGGATGTATTGCCTGTATGTTTGGTTTTGTACCATGTGCCTATGTGGTGCCCAAGGAGGGCCAAATGCAGCTTTGAAATCCCTGGAACTGGAGTTACAAATGGTTGTGAGCCACCAAGGAGGTGCTGGGACTCAAATCTGGAACAGCCAGTTCTCTTAACTGCTAAGCCATTTCTCCAGCCCTCTAGTTCAGAGTCTTGATCATGCTAACCACATTACAAGTGCTCAGTAGCACCTGGGCTAATGGCTACTACCAGACAGTGCACATATTAACTGTGTCCATCAGTAAAAAAAGCACTAAACTACCCCAAAATGCGATTTGTAAATTGTCTGTACTGGAATGAACGCAGTGTGCTGCCATCTAATTCTAGTGTTTTTTTATGATTTCTTATACAGTTATTGACTTATATTTCTCAGGGGTTAATATGACCAAGAAGATGAAAGAGAGTCTTCGATATTAACCAACCATTTGAAATTTCCTCACTGGGGGAAAAGAATAAGAATTGCCTTTCTGGGCAGCGGTAGCACGTGCCTTTAATCTCAGCACTCAGGAGGCAGAGGCAGGTGGATCTCTGAGTTCAAGACCAGGACAGCCAAGGTTATAAAGAAAAACCCTGTCTTAAAGAAAACACAACAGAATTGCCTTTCACATTACCTACATTACATCTGAAAATATGAATCTATCCCTGACTTTTGAGGTCCTAATGAGAGCACAGGTATACAGAATTCCAGATCAAATCACTTAGGAATGACATTCATATCACTTTAACAGTTAAAACTAAATTTTTACAGTCTAGTCTAAAACACAGTACTAGGCCAGGTGTAACGGTTCACACCTTTAATCCCAGGACTTAGAAGGCAGAGGCAGGTGGCTCTCTGTACGTTTGAGGCCAGCCTGGTCTACAAAGTGAGTTCCAGGACAACCAGGGCTACACAGAGAAACCCTGTCTTGAAAAAGAAAGCAAACAAAAACCACAATACTGAGACAGGCCTGGTGGCACACGTCTTTAATCCCAGCACTTGGGAAGCAAAGGCAGCTGGATCTCTAGGAGTTTGAGGACAGCCTGCTCTGTAGAGTGAGTTCCACAATACCTAGGGCTACAGAGTAAGACCTTGTCTCAAAAAATTGAAAGAAAAAAAAAAAAAAAAAAGCAAAACCATACCAACCAAAAACTCCCCAAAACATCCCCCCCAAAGAAACCCACTCTCTCACTGAGTGAAAGAAGAGTCTGATGAACCTCAAGGCTGAGAATGTGCCTTCTGTTTGTTAGTTTGGTTTTCTAGACAGGGTCTCTCTATACAACCCTAGGCTGTCCTGGAACACACTCTGTATACCAGGCTGGCCTCGAACTCATAGTGATCCGCCTGCCTCTACCTCCTGAGTGTGGGGTTAAAGGTGTGTACCACCAGGGCTGGAGAGCTGGCTCAGAGGTTAAGACCACTGGCTGCACGTCCAAAGGTTCTGTGTTCAATTCCCAGCAACCACATGGTGGTTCATAACCATCTGTAATGAGATCTGGCACCCTCTTCTGAAGTGTACATGTACATGCAGGCAGAACACTGTATACATAAATAAATCTTAAAAAAAAAAAAAAAAGGGAGTGCAGCACCACTATCTGGCATACTTTTTTTCTTTTAGTATGAGTTTTGAGTGCCACAGTACAGGATAAGACAGAGGTCAGAGAACAACTCTGTAGAGTTAATTATTTCATTCTACTTTAACATGGGTTCCAGGGACTGCACTTCGGTCATTAGGCTTGCCTTTACTTATTGAGCTATCTTGCGGGCCCCTTACAGTCTACCTGAATTTCAAAATGCAAGCAGGATGCCTTAGTATACTATAAGCCATTCCCTCAAAAACGGACAAGGGAGTTTAAGAAGAAGGCTCCGCAGATGATGCTTGCCTCCAAGCCTGATCTACATGGTAGAGAGAACTAATTCCTGCAAGTTGTCCTCTGACCTGTACCCTTGTGGTATGGTACACACATGTGTGCACAAGTGCATGTAAGTGCGCGCACACACGCGCACACACACACACACAAATGTAAAAAAACAATCCTTTCTTTTGAGAAAAAAGGTAATATATTCAACCTACTTTGAACATTCGTGGTGCCACGTGAGTATCCCTTCCAGACCACATCTGTTTGATGAGCTCTGCATAGGCCTCTGCAATCTCCCCTTTCATCCCCAGAGGGTTGTCTCTGTTGATCTCGGCCTCATACTCATCTTTGAGAAAGTACTCGGTCAGCGGAGCAGTGTTGCTCAGGCACTGAAACAGAACACAACCAGCGCTTACAGCCCTTCCAGACAGCATGAAGACACAAAAGACAAACCAAGTTCTTTTTGTTTCATACTCTTAGACAAGACTGGTTTCAAACTCTTGGCAATCCCCCTGCCACAACCTTCCAAGTACTAGAATTGCAGATATATAGAACCATACCAGAGCCGGGCATGATGGCACATGCCTTTAATCCCAGTGCTCAAGGAGGCAGAGGCAGATGGATCACTGTGAGTTCGAGCCCAACTTGGTCTACAAAGCAGGTCCAGGACAGCCAAGGCTACACAGAGAAGCCCTGTCTCAAAAAACAAACAAAAACAAAAAACAAAGCAAAAATTCCAAAACAACAACAAAAAGATGCAGAGTTTTATTTAGTTGGCCTACCTGCAAAGCTGAGTTCATGAAGCAGGTGTTCCCTAGGTTTCCAAGTCCACAGAGGCCAGGCTGTATATGAGGCGACGGGGGCTCCTGGCAATTATATGAAGCAGAGAAGCCAGATCCACTGAAAAACATAACCCACATCAGCAATGAAAGCAAGTGCTGTACATATGGCCTTAGGATGACTTTCGGAGTTCTGCTTGGGCCTCCAGAATGTGCATCTGGTCGTAATCTCACCTTGTCAATGTTCCCCACCTCACCTGGTCCTCCAGGCCTCCCCCTCTGCCTTTACTTGACATGTTAGCAGGTGGTAAGTATAGCCTTAAAGGGAGAAATGCTATTTGAATTTTCTTCTTTTAGATTTTGGTGACTAATTTTATATAATTCTAGAAGGCTAACTATCAGATGATTTCAGGAAGGAGTATTTTAGGTACCAAGATCAAGAGCTTGCATGTGCCACCATCCTCTAGGCCACTCCAGCCTTGACTGGACCTTAGTGTTCATCCACTCTCTCTCTGCTCACTCTCTTCTAGCCTATGTTTAGTGCCGCATGTTCCTAGCATGCATGGAGAGGAGAAGCAGGGTTTTGTCAGAACTGAGAACAGTCCCCTTATAGCTGCCATTTGACCAGCCCATCCCTTCACAAATGTTATGATCTCCCTACACCAGCCACCCTGCCCTCAAGATTATCAATGGCTTCAACTGGAGAAAACACCAGACAGCAAAAGGACAAGTGACAAGTCAGAAGTAGGAGGCACGCTTTACTGCAGGTAGGAAATGGAGTGAAAAATCACATGCAGCGCGTTCTCACAGGAAGCTCTAATCCCACAAGCTTTATTTTAGCCACAGATGAGAGTCCAGGTACTCCTGAGAAAGGAAGGACTCAGAGGGAAGGGAAGCAAAGTAAAAGGGCCTGTTCTTACCCCCTGCTGACACCGGAACTGTGCATCCCAGAAGTGTTAGTGCTATCACCATTTGCAATGAAAGAGGCAGACACTGAGGAATAGGGACTTGCGGATGTTTTTGGAGAGGTAGTAAAATTTCTGCTAGATGCAGTGCTTGATCTGGGAGAGAGAAGGAAAAACAACACCACTGACTTTTTGGAAAGTACAGGCCCTATTCATTGCCTTAGGTCTCTTCTCAATAAACAAATATTCTTAGGTGTACCTCACAGCTCATACCTGGACCCCCAAACTCAGAAAGCTTGAGGACAGTCTGGTCTACATTGAAAGAGGAAAAGAGAGGGAAGAAGCATTCCCATTCTCAGTTATGTAACATGCAGAAGCCCTGTCTTTCTACTCCAGGAGCTGTGAAGTGGGAACAGGAGAGCTGCTGGAAGCTTATGTGCCAGGCTCAGGTCAGCTATGCTAGAGCAGGCAGCAGCAAACAGCAAGAGAGTTCTCGGTCTCAAACTAGGTGGAAGGCAGGGACTGACATCTGACGTTGACCTCTGACCCTCACAAACATCCTCTAGCATGTGTGTGCCTGCATTTACACACATGAAGAGACACACTCTCTCTCAAGGGCCAGGTTAAATCTGCCTCATCCTAAATTCTAGGACTAAAACATTCTCTCCCTTAGTTTTGTCTATATTGCTTATAAATCAGTGGACACACTGATCTCATTTCCTGACCCAACAGATTGGCTGTACTCCCATGTCCAACAGTGTCGGACACTGCACAGGAGATCAAGAAAAGGAATGTGCCTCAGGAATTCCAGCCTATGCTCACTCTCGACCAATCACACCTTACCAAGAGACTCAGGCCTCCATGGAATCTCAAGGGGGCACTGCTATTTTCCAAAAGCCATCTCCCTTAGTAGAAATTCTTTGGTCTCAGAATGTGGGCCAGACAGGGAGAAGCAGAGCTAAGAAGACAAAGTGGTGCAAGGCCAGGGCAGCCAGCTGCCTCTGCTGGGTTATCAACCTCACAGGCCAGGGCAGCCAGCCTGCCTCTGCTGGGTTACCAACTATACCTCACAGGCTAGAAGCCAGCTGCCTCTGCTGGGTTACCAACCTCACAGGCCAGGAGCCAGCCACCTGGAATGTTTTCCCTAGAGCAGTGGTTCTCAACCTTCCTAACACTATAAGCTTTTAGCACAGTTCCTCATGCTGTGGTGTCCTCCCCCCCCACAACACAAAACTGTTTTCCTTGCTACTTCATAACTTTAATTTTGCTACTGTTATGAATCATAATGTAATGTAAATACCCATGTTTTCTGATTGTCTTACATGGTGACTGCTGTGAAAGGGTCATCCAACCCCAAAAGGGGTTGCGACCCAAAGGTTAAGAAACACTGCCCCCAAACGGTTCACAGTTTGGGGGTTTACTTTCTCTGTGTTCTGTGGCACTTCTAGTTAAGAAGGGAGAGCTATCTAGTTTGAATTTTTCGATTTGTTTCCCTGCTGCTGTCACACATTTCTACTAACTCGGGGCTTCAAGACAACACAAATGGATTATCACAAAATTACTGAAGTGAAGTCTAAAGGAGGAGCTGAAGAAATGGCTCAGACAAATGAGTAAGAGTGCTTGTTTCTCCTGCAGAGGACTCAGGTCCCCAACATCCATATGGTGATCACAACCACCTGTAACTCTTGTCCAGGGAATCCAACACTCTCTTCTAGCATCCACAGGCACCAGGCACACACATAATACACAGACCTACATACAAGCAAAATGCTTATACCCATAAAATAATTTTAAAAATCCAAAGGAGTTCTGAGTTAAAGTCAAAGTGTCCTTTGTAGAGACTTTAGTTTCTCCTAGAGGCTTTCCACATTTCTTGGCTCAAAGCCAGTAAAGCTCTTCTCAAGTTCCACTGCTTTGACTCAGCTTCTGTCTCACAGCTACTATGACTCTCCAGCCTTCCTTCCACATCACTTACAGGGAGCCTTGTGATTATAATGGGTCCACCTCAAGAGGCTCCCGATTTCAGTTAATGTAATCACACCTATAAAACATATTAATACGTTCTTGTGATAAGGCATTTTGTGACAACAGGGTAATTTATATTTTTTTCAACTTTTTTTTTAAGGATATGCATATAGGGTGTTTATGTATGAGTGCTTGTGTGGAAAACATATGTGTGCATTTGTACATATGGCAGCTGAGGTTCATGTTAGATGTCTTCTTGATTGCTCTTTACCTCAACATAAGGTGAAGAGCACCTCAATGAACTAAAGTTCACTCTTTTGGCTAGACTGGCTAGTCAGCTTGCTCCAGAGACTCCATTTCCATTTCCTGTGCACTAGGATTATGGGCAGCCTAGAACACTCATCCAACACAGGTGTGGGTTCTGGGAATGTGAATGCTGGTCTTCATGCTTGCATGACAAGCAGTTTACCTGCTGAGCCATCACCTTAGCCTCAGGTTTGTTTTTGTAGATACAGTCTCCTACACACCAGACTAGCCTTCAACACTACGTATCTGAACTCCTCCTCCTACCTCTGCCTGCTAAGATGTTCTCATAGGCTTGGATGACAGGCATGTCCCACCACACCTGGCTCTTCTTTGTCATCAGGTCAGGAAACAGTAATGTTATTCCCTGCACTACACCATGCAGAAGAGCATGAAGAAGAGCAATCACTTTCATCTACAACTTTCTAAGACTGTGCACCCTTCCATAGCTACAGGGATGTCTCCTGAGGTAACTGTGCTTGGAGTCCAAGTTTAGTGGCTGAGCAGTAATCCGTAGCAGGCCACAGGACAGAAGTGAGTGCGAGCCAGCCACCATCACCTTTAAGCCACACAAGCCCTCACCATACGCTCTTTTTTCTTTCTCAAAGCCTCTAAATTACAGGTAGAGAAGTAAAGGAGCTTAAGAAAAACTGTCACTCTTGGCAAAGTAGCAAAATCAGATCTGATCACCTCTCTTCCTCTCCCTCCTGTCCTTGGTTGAGACCCTGATAGGTATCTCTTATACAACTGTCAAGCACACTGCTTAAAGGCTGGCACTTCAAACACTGTGATTTGGGTGAAACACCAATTTTCCATCTAATTCAAAAGAACCCCTTTCTCTTCCCCTTTCTCTGCAGCTGCAAGCCAGGTACATGGAGAGAAGATTCACTTACTTTGACGGTACAGTCTGCCTGGGCCATGTGCCATCTTCATTTTGGGGCTCAATTACTAGCACCTGAGTGAAAGGGGAAACCAAATAAGCACAGTACAACACACCTTACTCCTGACAAGCTTATTGCCAGAAGACTGGGTCACACGCACCCTGGTCAGAGCTGCCTGTCTGGGCATGGCCTGGGCCCTCCTACCTGACCCTGGTACAGCCCAGCATCCTGGATAGTGTTGTCTAGCTTGCTCAACTGCTCATAGGTGTTGCTCATGTATTTGTTCCAAAGCCGTGTTTCCCGCTCTGCAGGGATGTTGAAGAGCTTCCTCATTTCCTTCTCAATGGTTGCTAGGAACAAGGAAAAACATCACTACTCAGGGCTCTCTCCAAACAAAGATAGCTGAGGCAAACCAATCTTCACATTCCTTCAAATGTTCATGGAAGATTTAGAGCAGGTTTGCTCACAGACCTTAACTTGTGCATGCTCCAGAGACCTCCTTGTAAGAAGCAGCACACTGCAGTAACATAGGACTCAGATGCAGTGGCTCCTGCCTACAATCCCAGCACTTGGGAAGCTGAGGTGTAGGGTTCCAATAAAGTGCAAAGCTACTAGAATGTTTTAGGTCAACCTGAGCTTTGGTATGAACACATATCCAAAAATAAGAAAAAAATTAAAAAAAGAGAGAGAGAAGGAAAAGCAATATAAGAAGTCAGAAAACTCGAAGCTGGGTGGTGGTATTGCATATCTTTAATCCCAGCACAAAGGCAGGTAGTTTGAGACCAGCCTGATCTACAGAGCAAGTTCCAGGATGGCCAGGGCTACACAGAGAAATCCTGTCTTGAAAAACAAACAAATGCCGGGTGGTGGCGGTGCTCCCGTTTAATCCCAGCACTGTGGAAGCAAGAGACAGGAGGATCTCTGGGTTCCAGAATGGCCTGGTCTATATAGTGAGTCCAGGACAGCCAGGGCTACATAGAGAAACCCTGTCTAAGGAAAAAAAAAAAAAAAAGGAAAAGCTAGCTAGGTCCAAGATCATTATTTCATTAGACACACACAAAAATATACAGACACAGCCTTCTGAGTTCATTTCATCAATTTTAGAGAAAGTGGGAAAAGACACAGGAAAGATTTAAGGGAGGGAACACAGGAGGGGCTGGAGTACGGAGAGGAAAAGGGAAGTGAGGTAATTAAGTTGTAATTAAAAATGTTATGAAAAAAATGAGCGCTAAGCCAGGTGTGGTGACGCAGCCTGCAGTTTAGCAGTGGAGACACTGATGCAGATGGATCATGCATTTGAGGGCGTCTGGGCTACACAGAGGGCCTCATCTCAAAAGAGGTGTTAAAGTAGACTGAGGAGATGGGTGAGTGGTGGAGTGCTTGCTCAGCAGTAGTAAAGGGTCTTGAGACTGATGCCTAGCTCCACCAAAAACAAACAAACAAAACCCTCATCCCACCCCCCAGACTATGGCAAGCTTTCTTTTTAATTAACTGATTTTTATGTGTATGAATGCTTTTTTGCTTACAAGTATACGTGTACACCATGTGTGTTCAGTACCCTCAGAGGCTAGAGGAGGATATCCTTCTGTGGGACTGAAGTTAAAGAGAGTTGATGTGGAGGAGAGAGAGATGGCTCAGTGGTTAAGAACACCGTTTGCTCTTCCAAATGACCTGTTTCAGTTCCCAGCACCCAAATGGTAGCTTACAATTGTCTGTAATGCCAATTCCAAGGGGCCTGACACCTTCACACTAATGCACATGAGAAAAAAAAAAAAGTTGATGTGGTGGTTTCAATGAAAATGGCTCCCATAGGTTCACATGCTTAAATGCTTGGTCCCCAGTTAGTGGAACTATTTGGAAAGGATTAGAAGGTATGGCCTGTTAGAGAAGGTGTATCACTAGGTGGTTTCAAAAGCCCACACTAGACCCAGTGTTGCTCATTCTCTCTCTCTGCCTGCCTGCCGCCTGCAGATCGGTATGTAAAGCTCAGCTACTGTTCCAGCACCATGCCTGTCTGTTTCCTGCCATGATGATCATGGACTAATCCTCTCAACTGTAAGCAAGGTCCCAATGAAATGCTTTCTTTTCTAAGCGCTGCCTTGGTCATGGTGTCTCTTCACAGGAACCAAGCAGTAACTAGGATGGTTGCCACCTGCCATGTAGAGGCTAAAATCTAATCCAAGTTCTCTGGAAAAAATATCCAGTGCTCTTAATTGTTGAGCCATCTCTCCAGAACTGTTGTATTTTCTGTGTGTGGTATATGACTTGGTAATGTGGGTATATACACAAGTGTATGTGTGGATGTGTGTGCTTGTGGGGACCAAAGGCCATCTTTAGGTATCTTTGCATCACTTCTTATATTTGAGACAGGATCTCCCTCTGAATATAAAAGCTAAGTGATTTAACTGGAGTTGCTGACTAATGAGTTTCAGGGATCTACGTGCTTATCTCACATTCCCGAGTAAGAAGGTTCACCTTCACAGACCCAGAGAAAGATCTGTATGGATACCCCACGCCCTAGAAGGTCAGCTTTAACAGAAAACTCTTGTTTTGGTGCTTGTAGGGTTCATCAAATTAGAGGGATAAAAAAATATAGTAAAGGTACATACCACACATAGGCGCTAGGATCCGAACTCAGGTCCTCATGCCTGTACAGCAGGCACTTAACTATTGAACCATATCCCAAGCTTGCCTTCCTCACTTCCCCCTTTGAAATAGGGAAGACCATACTGGCCTCAAATTCCTCCAAAATCCTCATGTCTCTGCACTCCAAGTGCTGGGATTACAGGCGTTAGCCACCATGTCCAACTCAAGGAGTAGAGGCTGTTTGTTTTATTGGCTTGGTTGGTTTCTGTTCTGAGACTATGAGTATAATCCCTAGTATCATATAACCTGGCACTTAGGAGGTAAAAACAGGATGTTATCCACGGCTCCATACTGACTTCATGCCTGCTTGAGCTACTTTTCTCGCCATCATGCTTGCCCGAGTCCTGTTCTATTGAACACAGTTCGAAGGTCTGGTTCTTCAGAAAAAGACTTCCAAGTCAGCACTGACAACCACAGTCTGGTAACAAGCGTTAAGAACTTCCTCCTGTCACTTACAGTAGCCTATACTCTCTTTCCAGTGAGAGAACCCAGAGCCCTGGCCAGCTACTTACCAATGGTGTCTGCTTTGCTAAAATGGCAACTTAGCAAATTGGTGGGGTCACTGTTCTCACAGAGCTTCAGTTCCAACAAATACACCTCCACTTTGCAGTGCTTGACAAATAGGCCATGCTCCACAACCTGTGAGCAAAAGAGGCAAGGGTGAAGGAGCCGCTGCTCGACACCTGGACAGTCTTGATGACAACATGGCTCAGCAACAGAAGGCTAAAACCTCTCAAGAAAAAGTTTCCTTCAGGAATTGTTTTTGAGACAAGATCTCACTATGTAGCCTTGGCTGTCTTAGAACTCAGTTTGAATACCAGGCTGGCCTGGAACTCAAAGAAATCTGCCTCTGTCTTCCAAGTGATAGATTCCCACATTTGGTCTAAGAAGAACAAATTTTTCTTTGTTTTTAGAAAGTAGATTTAATTCATCAGCATAGGACCCAGGAGTTACAATTTTCCCCCTGTAATGAAAAATCAAGCACACCTTCACAGACCCAGAGAAAGATCTGTATGGATACCCCAAGCCCTAGAGGCAGGTCTCAGAAGGTCAGCTTTAACAGAAAACTCTTGTTTTGGTGCTTGTAGGGTTCATCAAATTAGAGGGATAAAAAAATATAGTAAAATCTTTAGCAGAATGTTTACATGACTAAAATGACAGCATTTGTAGACCTCTGAAGAAGACTACAATGTTCTTTGTCCCTTAACCATCCCCAAAATTTAAAACTAGCAATAGATAGATAGATAGACAGATAGACAGACAGACAGACAGATAGATGATCCTGAAGCCATGCATGGAGACACAAGACTAATCTCAACTCTAGGAATATTGAGGCAGAAAGATCAGGAGTTCAAGGTCATCCTGAGCTACATAATAAGCTTGAGGCCATTCTGGACTACATGAAAGTCTTTTTTAAAAAAAGAGGGTGGTTGGTGGTAGTGGTGGTTTTTGATCTTGAATAATGAATGACTCCTTAAGGATGCAGCTCTTGCCAGGCCTGGTGGTGCACACCTGGAATCCTAGCACTCGAGGAGGCAGAGGCAGGTAGATCTCTTTGAGTTCGAGACCAGCCTAATCTACAAAGGGAGTCCAGTACAGCTAGGGCTACACAGAGAAACCCTCTCTGGTGGGGTGGGGAGTGATATGTAGCTCTTAGCTGGGTGCAGTGGCACATGTCTGTAATCCCAGAATTTAGGGAGGCAGAGATAGATGGATCTCTGTGAGTTCAAGGCCAGCCTGGTATACAAAGCTAGTCCAGGACAGCCAAGACTACATAAAGAAACCCTGTCTTTTAAATTTTATTTATTTAGCGTATATATGAGTGTTCTATCTGCATGTACATCTGCCGGAAGAGGAAATCAGTTCACTTTATAGATGGCTGTGAACCACCATGTGGTTGCCAGGAATTAAACTCATGACCTTTGCAAGAGCAGACAGTGCTCTTAATCACCGAGACATCTCTCCAACCCAAGAAACCCTGTCTTGAAAAACAAACAAACAAACAAAAAAATGTAGCTCTTTCCAGGCACTCGGGAAGCAGAGGTAGGCAAATCTCTGTGAGTTCGAGGCCAGCCTGGTCTACAGAGTGAGTTCTAGGACAGCCATAGAGAAACCCTGTCTTGAAAAATAAAATAAATTAAAAAAAAAAAAAAGTCTCTCCTACTCAGGAAAACATATACCCAAAGAAAAGTAAGAAATTTATGTACTGTCTAAATATCATCTGTGATTCCTTTCCATGAAGAAAAGCAACTACCTGAGATAAGGTAGTGGACATGATATTAGACTCATGAGTGTGCCTGCCCTTGAGAAGTTAATCTTCTCTGTGCATACACACCTATTTTTGACTACTTAGCAGTAGGGTCAGGCCCCCGAGCATAGGGGAGATGGTTAGCCAGGATAACTTAGTAAGACACGGTCTCAAAGAAGAAAAGTAGGCTTGAGATACAGCTCAGGGCCAGGACACTTCTTAGCACATATGAAGTCCTAGGCCATGCCCAGGGCTGGGCAGGAGAGCAGCACACATTAGCTTACCCCCACGTGGCCCAGCTGAAGGGTCCTTATGGGCATCCCAAGCTCCAGGCAGCTCTGGCGGCTGGAGGCCTCTTAACACCCTGAGGTGCTCACACACACTTCATTTCCTAGAGAGAACTAGAAACAACCTAGAAATAGTCTCTCAGCCCAGAATTCCAGCCCTCAAGAGACAGATGGTGACCAGTACAAGGCCAGCCTGGGCCACACAGAAATCCTGGCTCAGGAAACAAAATCAAGGTCTCAAGCCCAGCATGCTGGTGACATTTTTAATCTCAGCACTTGGGAGAAAGTGGCAGGAGGATCTCAGTTTGAGGGCAGTTTGGTCTATAGAGTAATTTCCAGGACAGCCAGGGTTATACAGAAAACCCTGCCTCAAAAACAAAATACAGTCTCAACTACTTGTTTTCAACCACTTAACTACATTCATCTCCACAGAAAAATCAACAGAAGTCCATGTATCAAGGAGAACCCACACACACACACACACACACACACACCTAGCAGCTTAACTTGTGTACTCACTTTTCTGACAATAGGCTGCTGTCCTTCCACACAGCCATACCAATTTATCAACTTATTCCAGGCTTCGGTTGGGACCAACACATAGTCCAGCTCATCAATTAAGTGCTCCTTCAAGGTCTGACTCTCAGGATCTGAAAAATGAAATGGGCACACATCTGAAAAGTGTTTTGTTATTTTTTTCTACAAGATTCTTATGTATTTTTCATAAGAAAAGATTCAATAGGAACAAGTACAATATTCCAAACTTCTGTCACTAGCCGTAACACAAAGCAGACCTGACCACTCTTATCCTAGTCATGTTTCTTGAGGCACTTGCATTTTGCCTATAATTAGAAAGAAAAGTGAGATAGAGTCAGTGGTTCATCCTTGTGGTTCCGGCTACTCAGGAAGCTGAGGAAGAACTGTTTGAGCCCTGAAGTTCAAGGCCAGCTTGAGTAACAGCCAGACTCTACCCTCCCCAAAAAAAAAAAAAAAAAAAAGGAAGAAAGGATGGAGGGAAAAGAAAACTCTTTGTTCATTTCTTTTTTTCATTTGAAGTCAAATTTATTGAAGGTGGACACAGCTGTGCACCCCTTTAATCCAAGCACTTGAGAGGCAGAGAAGGTGGATTCTGTGAATTTGGGAGCCGCCTAGTCTACATAGGAGGTCCAGAACAGCCAAGGCTACACAGTGAGACTCTGTCTTAAGGGGGATGAAAGTAACTCTAAAAAAAATGAGATATAATTTATATAATGTACAATTTTATTTATGAAAAATTGTTCTTCATATACTGTATTTTAGTCATATTCTTTCCCCTTCCCAACTCCTCCCAGATCCCCCTCTCTACTACCCATTTCTCATTTTTGGTGTTTTTTGTTTTTGTTTTTTTTTTTTTTGAGAGAGAAGGACACAAGTAGTCCAGCGTGACCTTGATCCTTATATAGCCAAGGATGACCTTTAATCCCTAAATAGCCAAGGATGATCTTCCCGTCTTCCCAAATGCTATGATTACGGGGAGGAAACAGCACCACAGAGTCAGAGAAAATGGGTAAGGAGATTGCTCAGCAGGTAAAGGTACTTGCTGTCAAATCTGAGAACTTGAGTTGAATAGGAAAAGTTTTGTTTTTTTTTTTTTTTCAAGACAGGGTTTGTGTGGTGTGTGTGTGTCCTTGTCTGTCTTAAACTTGCTCTGCAGGCCAGGCTTGGCCTTGAACTCAGAGATTCACCTGGCTCTGCCTCCAGAGTGCTGGGATTAAAGTATTCACCACCACTGCCTGTCTAATAAGAAAACTTCTAGATTCACAATGAACATAATATGGCTAATTATAAGCCTAGACTGGTATTTTTAAAGAGAGAAACAATGATAAAACACTGCAAACTGGGCGGCGGCACATGACTTCAATCCCAGCGTGTGGAGGCAGGTGCAGGCAGAGCTCTGAGTTTGAGGCCAGCCTGGTCTGTATCCAGACGATCAAGGATACACATACCTGTCTCAAAAAAAACAAACAAACAAACAAAAAAAACCAACAAAAATGCAGGCATAAGTTCTGGCTGTAACTCACTGGCAGAGCGGTTTCCTCACAAGCAAAGCAAAGCTGTAAGTTCAACCTCCAAGTACCTCCCCAGAAAAGAGAAAAACAAAAGCCAGGCATCACAGCACTCAGGCAAACTGAGACTATCTTGGGCTACATATAGAGTTCAAAGCCAGCCTAGACTGCATAGGAAGACTCTGTCTCAAAAACACAACAAAACAAATTAGAACGAAAAACAATAATGATTATGAATTACGAATACTTACAATAACACTTCTATCGATAGTGCATGAACTCACACATCATCTACATATGAAGCATTTACTAAGAAGGCAAATAATGAGGCACTGAGGGTTGGGGGTGGAGTACATTCTAAACAATCAGCCATGCCCTGAGCTCTCAGCTCAATTCCCAGCATAGCAGGAAAAACTGGAGTGGGGGTGGGATAGGATTTGACAACAGAATTCTCTTTCACTAAGAGAGTCATTCAGTATTTTTTGTTTTCAGGGTTTCTGCGTTGCTGGTTTATTTTTTCAAGGAGGCTGGGAATGAACTAGGACATCAAGCACGTTAGACAAACGATCTGCTGCTGTTCTACACCCCTAAACCCTCAGTGAACACACTAGGCTTTTTGTGTTAAGGTTGTTTAAGTCTTATTTAGTATATGGGCAATGGGAGGGTTGCTCACTCCTCAAGGCATAGGTGGAGGTCAGAGGACAACTCTGTGGATTCCTGGGATTGAAGTCAGGTTGTCAGATCTATATGCCAAGTACTTTCAATCACGGGTTTTTTTGTTTGTCTGGGGTTTTTTGTTGTTGTTGTTGTTTTGACAAGGTTTCTCTGTGTAACAGAGCCCTAGTTGTCCTGGAACTCACTCTGTAGACCAAGCTGGCCTCAAACTCAGAACTATCCACCAGCCTGTCTCCCGAGTGCTGGACATAAAGGTGGGCCCCACTAGGCCCGGCTGAACCAAAGGGTTATTTACCACAGTGGGGAAGTGTTTTGAAATAATGTCTTCCTTGCAGCCCAGGCTAGCCTAGAATAAGAAGTACACAGCCCAGGCAGTCTGAACTTGCAACAATTCTCCAGCCCCATCCTCTCAAGTGTTGGGGTCAAAGGTGAATACACCATGCCCGTAGCATTCTTAGTTAAGTGACTTCTGGTCTGCAGTTCTATGGATCAGACCCAAGGCCTTGCATACCCTAGGCAGATACTTTTGTCTCTGAGCCCTGTTTATTTGACTACTGTTCTCTAGCGCAATGGTTCAAACCTAAAGCTACATGTATGTCAGTCCAAGTGCTCCACCACTAGGCGACACTCCCCAACACCTAAGAATTCTTGGTTCACATGTACACTACAGTGTGAAGTGGAGAGTCAATATTTAACATGTTAAACATTCATTTTATACCCATCACAGAGATATCTGAAACACGCTGAGAGGAAAATCCAAGACTCATCACCTGCTAGCTATAAGGGGTACTCCCTGCTAAGCCTGTCTATCAACACCTACTCTAAGGATGGCATAAGTCACTGTTCTCCTCAGACCAGTAGAGCCAGGAAGGTGCAACTCAGCTGATTTTTTTTTTGTAAAGAGGAGCCAGGTGTGGTAGCATGCACAGGTAGCACTCATGAGGTAGAAGCAGGCAGATCCCTGTGAGATCCAGACCAGCTGGGTTACATAATAAGATCTTGTCTCAAGAAGAAAATAAAAGACAAAAAGGAAAAAAAAAAAAAAAAAGAGCCAACAGTGGTGGTAATACACACCTGTTAACCCTATGTACCTAAGAGATGGGGTCGGGAGGATCAGGTGATCAAGCTGCAAAAGGAGTTTGAGGACTGTAAATTCAACACTTAATAGGCAGTGAGGAGGTCAGAGGTCATAACTCTACTGACCTTTCACCTCTCCTTACACTACTTCTATGACAAATGCAGCCAGTACAGCCATGCCCGCTGACCTTTAATACACCTTCAGTGTTCTACTTCACAGGTATCCCGACTAGACTACCACAGTCTTCAAAACAAAACCTAAAACGTATCCATCTCAGGAGTCCGGTGGGCATGAGAAGTGCTACTCTGCAGGTGACGTTCATACCTATAATCCCAGAGGCTCTGGGAGGCCGTTTAACAGGGCCGCATCAGTCCTGAGGCCTGCACGAGCAGTACAGAGAGACTCTCAAATTCCACCCCCACCCACCGCCACAAAACAACAGACGAGAAGACAAATATATTTTTCCTTTCAACCAGTCGTGTTGCACATCTGCAATCCCGACGCTCAGGAAGACTAAGTTCAAGACTCACTTGGGGTACATACAGAGTTCCGGGCTACAAACTTGCTACGTATCCAAGTTATGTAGCACGACCCTGCCTCAAAACAAATAAGAAAGTGAGTTATCTTATCTTCCTGAGCATTTAGGCCACAGATCCGAGTGACACACGGCACGTTCTTGTTAAAAGTAGTTATTCAGGGGAAGGTGCTTAACCACTCCCTAACAATCTGCAAAGATGTCTACTACGGACGTAATGAACACTTCTATCTCTTCACGTCATGGAAGTCACACGTTCATGATGTCCACCATGGTACAGATACACACTACCTCAGACTATGGCCCCTGTGAACACAGAGAAAATCTCGGCTACTGCACCTGAAAAGAGTCCAGAGTTGTCAATCGGTCCAGGAAACAGGTTATGTTCCCCGACATTGTACATGTCCCAGCTGTCAAAGCCCACGTACTTCTTCCACTGCTTGAACCACCGGCTGTCAATAAGATACCTAGAGAGAAACAACAGTTTAATATAAAATATAGAAAAAAAAAAAGCCGAAGTTTTCAGTTTTGCAGCTCTTCTTTAATTTTTTTCCTCTACATGCCTACCTTAAGTAGGTAGGTCTTTTACGGTCTTTTCACCAAGATAATGTGTAATTCCCACTTAAATGACTTTTTTGTTTGTTTTCCCAGACAGGGTTTCTCTGTGTAGCCCTGGCTGTCCTGGAGCTCAATCTGTTCAGGGTGCCTTGAACTCAGAGATCCCTACCCTCCCGAGTGCTGGGACTAAAGGCCCAGGCCACCACTGCCAGGCCAGGATCTTATTTTTAATTATGCGCTTGAGTATGTGTATGAGCACAGGTGCCCATGGAAGCCAGAGCAGCTCGATGCCCCTAAAGCCTGAATACAGAGAGCTGTGAGCCAGCCGACACAGGTGCTAGGACTCAAAGTCAAGTCCTCTGCAAGAACAATGAGTTCTTAACTGCCGAGTGGTCTCTCCAGCCCATGAGCAATCATTTAAGAAGTAAAATTATGCTTAGTATATGTTATCAATTGCATTCCCGACCAGCACTTTTTTTTTTTTGGACACAGGGCTTTACTCTGTCAGTCAGGCTGACCCCGAAACTTGGCAGCAACGTGCCTCTCCGGGGCTAAGACAACAGGCGTGTACATTCACAACCAGCTGAATATTCTTTATCTTTCATCCCCTTACAGAATAATTTCTCAAGTCCCTCTGGCCTTTCACTAGCACAATATAAACACCATAAAACAATACCTAAACTGCACCCTAACCCCCAACCACGTGATTTCTATTCTCTTTTTCAATGTTCACGGTAGTCATAAGCAATGGAAAACCTACCGTAGTTTTGACTCGTACACAGGAGCACCACCAGATTTCTCCACTACTGGTTAGAGTACTATCCCTCCTAGTTAACAATCTAGTAAGATACCTCATATTTAATTTGCTCTAATAAACCTTATACTTTTTTTTTTTTGGAGGGGTTCTGCTCACTGTGTAGGAGACCGGCCCTAAAACTGCAGCAAACCTCCAGCCCCTGCAAAACAGTACATCATATGCCAACATACCTGGCAAAAATCTTGGCACTTTAGATCTTCTACTTTGCTCCAAGATTCAAGCTCGGCTCCTCTCCCACCCCTAGATCTAACTACTGCTACAATTGTTCCCGATGTGTGACAATCTGGGCTCTTTACTCAGCTTCTGGCCTTGAATTCTGTCCCGCAGTTTACAAGTTACAAAGTGTCTAGTTCTGATCTTCTCTCAACTCCCCGAGCGCCATAAGCCACAAATTGCTACTCCGGTTTTAATTGTTCAGGAACGGAGGTCTGTAAGGCACGGACACCTCCCCCCAAGGTCACCATCAAGCGCTCACCTCTTCGGTGGTTAAGCGCTCTCCCACCTTCCCACTCCCGCCGACCCGAGCACTCCCCCTTTTCCCACATTCTATGTCCCTGTCCCCGCCGGCCCCCTGGGAATCCGAATGGGCCGAGACAAACCCCAGACCTGTCAGCGCTGTCCCCTAGCTGCTCTCGGGGTTTCTTTCATCTGCGGCGGCTGTCAAGCTACTCTGAGAGACTCCAGGCACCGCCCCCGGCCCGCCTCTACCTAAAACTGAGGCAAGGGGTCGGGCCCGAGGGCTAGCGACCCGGCCCGAGGCTCTGCGCGGCGGGAGGGCACACCGGACGCTCACCACTGCGCCCCACGCTGGAGCGTGGTCCCCATCAAGGCTCCGAGCTCCGTCTTCTGGGTCTCCACATCCGGTCGCTCACGGCTGCCTCGGCCTTCCGCCATCTCGTCCGCCGCCCCGGCCCGGCCGGCCCGGACATCCGCCTAGCGCACGGCGTGCTATATGGGCCGCGCCCACGCACGCACGTAACCACGCACGTGCGCGCGCCCGGCGCCGCCGTCCGCTTCCGCCTCTTCTCCCCGCCCCCACCGCGCTGGGCCCCGGAGCCCGAGCAGGCGGGCGGCGGCCGCCTCGGAGCCCGAGCGGCTCCGTCCTCGTCCACCCGCGAGTGCGCGGCTCCCGACGCCCACCGCCCTCGGCCCTCCAGAGGTCAGGCCGGCCTCGACCCCGCCGGCGCTCGCTCCATCCCGGCCTGGGGGGTCGTCCGGATGCTGAACCTGTGTCCGGGGGACCTGCCGCCTTGCTCTTCTTGTTTCCACTCGGCCCGCTTTCAGGAAGACGGCCGAGAAGCGAGGTTGCGTTGACTGCCTCGGCGGCCCCTGCAGCCGGGTGCACAGGCGCATCGGGAACTGGACTGCCCGGTGGGGGCCACGAGGTGGCTCCGTGGTTGACGTGGTTGATTGGGTTTGATCCCCTGAATCCATGTAAAAGCGAAAGAAGAAGAAGATCTAACTCCTCGAAGTTGTCCTTTGTTCCCGACTCAGGCGCTGTGGCACGCGCTCTCCCTTACAGAAACACGGTACTGAAACTTACTTGAGACAGGCTTTCTAGTACGTGGCTGTCCTGAAACTCCCTTTGTAAACCAGGCCGCCCTCGAACTTAAATCCGTCTGCCTCTGCCTCCAGAGTGCTGGAATTACATGTATACGCCACCACGCCTAGCAAAAAAAAAAAAAAAAAGTTGTCAGAAATAGACCCCGTCTCAAAACACAGAGTTGTCACCAGAATCCTGCCAGCTCTCCGTATCAAGGGGTAGTAGCAACTAGCGAAGCCTATAGCAGCCGAGATAGGAATGAGGTCCAGGCGTTTTAATTTTTTTCCTGGAACAAAGGTCGAGTGTCCTGCTAGACTGTAATCGCCTTTGCCATAGTCCCAGCACTCTGGAGGCAGAGGCAGGCAGATCTCTCTGATGGTCTACTGAGAGAGTTCCAGGACAGCCAAGGCTACACAAAGAAACCCTGGCTGTGGGGTCGGGGGAGATTGCGTGTCCTGAACACTTTTCTCCAATGGCACCTACACAGGTTTAAAAATCACAGCTCTTCTGAAGGAAAAAGTAAGTCTTCATTAAGGAGGCAACCAGGCAGCTGGTGAGTTTCCACTTCTCAGGCAAATCCTATTCTTAAACAACAATAAGGCAAATACGACCGTTTCGTATAGGCAACTGTATAGGGCTAGGCAAGCATGTTCAGGCCCTTAGTTTCTAGCAGCCCTCCAAAAATAACCCCATTCCCTTGTCTTCCTACAGCCTGTTACAATGCAGATTTTAATATGTGTGTTTATCGTCTGTGCTTGTGTGTGCTCCTGCGTACGTTTATAGGCATGCAGGGGCCCTCCAAGGCCAGAGGCGTTTTACCCCTTAGAGCAGGAGCTCTCAACCTTCCTCATGCTGCAGCCTTTTAATAAAGTTCCTCGTGTTGTGGGGACCCCCAACCATAAGATTATTTTGTTGCTACTTCATAACTGTAATTTCACTACTGTTATGTATTATAATGTAAACATCTGATATGCAGGATATACATGACATCCAGAGGGAACTTGTGGATAGAAACGTGGTTTTGGCTTTGGTCCCAGGTGTGGGATGTGGGACTGATTCAGATGGTTCACAGCAGCAGACTATTTGCCTTATTTGGGCTCTGAGAGGGGCCCTTTGCCAGCTGCAGATAGTTTAAATCTGAGGACTCTGGAGAGAGAATAAATACCAGAGCCCAGAAAGTGGGACTCCGAGAGAGAATAAGGCTGCTCCTGCTTCCTCTTTGCTGCTCCTGCTTGCTCTTGTGAGACGAGAAGTTGGAGATCTCCTGAAACAAGGATTGGACTGGCTTCAAGGAACCCAATGATCTTAACAAGCAGGAATCAGCTAAGAGAACTACGCCCCCTATACCACTAACCCTTTCTTTTGCCTACCTGGTGTTGGGTATTGGAAGGGACTGGGGTGAGGTAAGGGAGAAAAAGGTACAAGAAATGTAAATAAAAGAGTTTTTTAAAAGAATGCCAAAAGGGTCTCTATCCACAGGTTGAAAACTGCCTAATAAGGGTGCTGAGAACCATCCTTAGAGTTCTCTGCAAGAACTGTTAGCTACTGAGCCAGTTCTTCAGCCTGTCTTTGTGAATCCTTTATAAGTTCATTAACTTTGCCTTACTCTGGGCTGTCTTGAAATTGTTCCCTGACACTCAACCAAAGACCATGAGAGGATAAAACCTAGAACCTCTGCACGGATGTGACCCGTGATAGCTCAGTAATCAATTGGTTTCCTATAGTAAGGGGAACAAGGACTATTTCTAACAGGAACTCAATGACTGGCTCTTTGACCTGCCTACCTCCCAAGGGAGGAGCAGTACTGTTAGGCCACAGAGGAGGACTTTGCAGCCAGTCCTGAAAATACCTGATAAAACGGAGTCATATGAAAGGGGAGGAGGTCCTCCCCTATCAGTGGACTTGGAAAGGGGCAGGGAGGTGATAAGGGAGGGAGGGAGGGTGGGATTGGGGAGGGAATGAGGGATACAGCTGGGATACAGAATTAACAAAATGTAACTAATGAGAATAATAAAAAAAAATAAAAAGTAATTGTTCCCTATGCATAGCCAGGGATTCCACTTTACCTCAGGGGAGTTACCCAGAGAGAAAGGGAACATCCCAGGCCCGGTGTTCTTGGGCTGTGTCTCTCCTATAGTGCTGATGAGACCTTGTCTCAAAACAAGAGGTGAAAAGATGACTCAGAGTAAAGAGTACTTTTGCCTACCCAGAGAACCCTGATTCCCAGCAGGCACCCAAGTCGGACATCTCACAACTGCTTGCAACTACAGCTCCAGAGAATCTAATGCCCCCCCCTGGCCTCCATGGGCACCTACCCAGAGGAGCAGACACACATACACATGAATAAAAAAATAAATCTTAAAAAGAAAAAAACAAAACAAAAGTCTTTCATACATTCACAAACCACTCCAGTGGGAGACAGTGTGTGGTAAGAGTCATTAAAGGGTGTAAACCAATGGCTGTAGGAATGCCAGACAAAATTTAAAAAAGGAAGCCTTTGACTTAAGTAGCATTTTGAGTATGGTCCCAAAGGAACTGTTGCAAGGAAGCATAGATATGAGGGAATTTTTCTGAAATATGAAATCCAGGGTCAGGGTGGGGATTGGGCCAAAGAGCTGAGCTCTAACTATTAAAATAGCTTACGGAGATCTAAAGCCAGAAAGGAAGCTGGCAGGGACCTGTAGCTTAAGGACAGGCAGCCATTGGAGGTTTGGGAGCTAAAGGAAAATGCCTGAGGGTGTTTCTCAGCACTGAGCCGCTTCCAGGACTAGACCCATTAGGAACTAATTACGGCAGCTTTGGGAGAAGAAACAGATTAGTGCTGGGGTGCTGGAAGGGGAACCATCCAGAGAAGGTAAAGTAGGTCATTTGAGAAGACTGTTTTTGTGTTGTGGTTTTAACTCCTTGACGTAATTTGCTCTCCGAGGGACATCTATCTCAGCATGGTGGCAGAGGCTTTGGGAAGAGTTAAATGTGTATTTAAACAGCCTTGACCTTAAACAGACCTTGAAGGGGGTGAGGGAATGGAGGGGGGCGGAGCCAGGAGTCCGAAAGGTGTTGGCTCTGATCTGCTGCCAAGCTTGGTGACCTTCGTCCATCCTGGGGACTCACCCGGTGGAAAGAGAGGGCTGACTCCAAATCGACTGCAGGGAGAACTGTCCTCTGACCTACACACACAAACACACAAAAAATGAATTCATTGAAACGTAATTTAAGGGGAGGAGCGCTGAGGAAAAAGAGCTCAGCAAGTAAAGGGGCCTTACTGCAAGCCCGATGACCTGAGCTTGATCCAGGAAACCCGCATGGTCGTCTGACCTTCACACATATAACAAATGAATAAAATGTAACACAATATAAAGGAAAAAAATAAACAATGTTTCCTGTAATCCTACTGTTGAAGAATGGAGGCGGAAGGATCAGGAGTTAAAGGTATGGAGTAAGCTTGAGGCCAGTCTGGGTCACAGGCGATCCTCTCTCAACAAAATAAAAGTATAAAAATAAATAAATGGAAAACATTGTACCACGTGGTGACTCTGTACTGTATCTGAGAGATCACCCCTGATGGTCTCTTCTATGAAAGTTCTTTGAAGGGAGGGTCTGGCTTAACCTTTAGGGGCACCTGTTTTGAGGAGCTGGGTTTGCTTCCTCCCATCCACATCAAGGCTCACAACTCCAATCCAAGGAATCCCAGAACTGTCTTCTGGGTTCCATGGATAGCAGGCATGCTCATGCATTCATCATGCATTCAGGAAAAACGCTCAGACACATGAAAAATAAATGAAACAAGATAAATCTCATACAGACAAAAAATTCTTTTTTGTTTTTCTAGACAGGGTTTTTCTGTATAGCCTTGGCTGTACTGGACTCACTTTGTAGACCAGGTTGGCCTCGAACTTACAGAGATCCACCTGCCTTTGCCTCCCTGAGTGCTGAGATTACAGGCATGAGCCACCCCACCCAGCAAGGTCTTTTTTAAAATAAAAATAAAGTGCTTTGAGAATGTTACACCTTGGCCTGTGATATCTGATACTCACAAAGCTAAAAGAAAAGGATCAAAAGTTCAAACGAAGCCTGAGCTACAGAGTCAATTCAAGGTCAGCCTGGGCAATTTAATAAGACCCTTTCTCAAAAATACTGATGATGCCGTTCCCTGGAACAGCACCAAACTTGCTGAAAGCCCTGGCTTCAATCCCCAGTCTGTCTGTCTGTCTGTGTCTCTCTCTCTCTCTCTCTCTCACACACACACACACACCCCTAAGATGAATCTAAAAGTGGTAATGAGTGCCCAGTTATGGAAGGAGGGGGGCCTAGACAGGGGAATTATCAGGAATTCAAATCCATCCTGAGCTACATAGCTAGCCTGTGCTACAGAATGAGACCCTGTCTCAAAAAACAAAGACGGGAAAGAGGCTGGGGTGTAGTTCAATGGCAGAGTACTTGCCTTGGATGCATAAAGTCCTGGGCTCCGTCTCTGGTACCACAGAACGAGAGAAACATTTTTAAATGTTATGAAAGAAATGCTACAGATTGCAAAACATTACCGTTAATCTTGTTATTTATGGAAAAAGAAAGCCACTGCTGACATTAGCTCAGAACCTACATTAGAGGATGGCAGCTTCCCTCTTCTTTTTTTAGTGGTTTCCTCTACACCATTTATGGTAGTTTGAAGGAAGTAGTGCATGTCCCCAGAACCAACAGAATAGGGGGAACCTAATCTTTATAGAAGTGAAAAAATTGGGAAACTACACTGGGGGAGAAGGAAGTCATATGATCAAAGGCTAATTGTGCCAGAAGTATCTGACTTCGTTCTATCAGTCACTTTAAAACAGTGCTTTTGCTAGAATTGTTAAAAATGGAGGTTTTTCTGACCCTAGTTAAGTAAACACAGGGCCCATTGGCTTATTGGAAGGTCTGTGGCCTAATGCTGCTTCAAGTTCCCAGAGCAAACAGTATCCTGCCATCATGTCGACCGGAGACAGGCTCAATGTGATTCCTAGTCTCGCTTGTTTGAACTGCTGAAATCAGGAGGTTTGCTGGGGTACAGGACAGAGCCAGAGGCAGTTACAGGGTTGAATGGTGTTTTGTTTTTTTGTTTGTTTCTCAAGTACGTGTGTGCATGTGTATGTGTTGAGGGGAGGTGTTTGACCTCTTGGGAAAATGCTGAAGTGGTAGTGGGCATTATTCTGAGTGTCTCTGAAGAAGACGGGGTTGGAAATTTCCTTTGAGTTAGGCTGCTGCCTGGAGTCTGAGGAGGAACACTCCCCGCCCAGGATCAGCAAGGTTAGGTGCCTAGAAACTCCCTGTCCTGGCAGCCCAACCATTAACTGAGAGGGAAAAACAGAGGATGAGTCATCACACAGCGTGAGGGAAAAGGCTGGAGTCTGCAAAGCCCTGGGTTCCCATCCCTAACTGGAGAGGGGTTCAGCACCCTGAGGAGAGACTTGGAGTGGAAAACCTCTTCAGTCTGAATGGAAGGTCACTGACAAGAGCAGACTTTCTGGGACTGTATGTTTAAAAAAAAAAAAAATTAAGAACATTAGAACATGCTTTTAAAATTGCTTTGAAAAGTTTCCCTTAATCTCAGCACTTTGGAGGCAGAGGCAGATAGATCTGTGAGTTCAAGGCCAGCCTGGTCTATATCATGTGTTCAGGACAGCCAGGGCTACATAATGAAACTGTTTTGTGTTTTACAGTATATGTATATTTTTGTGTGTACATGTTGGAATAGAGGCATATTGGTCCATGTCCATAATTCCAGCACTTAGGAAATGGCCTGGCAGGTGGATCGGGAGTTTGAGGATAGTCCTGGTTCCCACACACACACACTTTGGGGCACAGTGGCTTCTCACATGTAATCCCAGTCGGTGAGGGTAGGAGGCTGCTGTGACAGGACAGCCAGTGCTAAGACCAGGAGACAGAGACGGAATTGCTAGGAGTTGGGGGACACCGTCGGCTATACAGTCTGAGGAGATGGCTCAGTGCTGAGAATTATGTATGTGTGAGGCCCTAGGCTTAGTCCCCACATGCGCGCGCGCGCACACGCGCACACACACACACACACACACACACACACACACACACACACACACTTTTGTTTAGAACCAGAGGATGTGTTTTTGAGTTGGTTCAGGGGTCAGAAGGCCCTTAAAGCCACCAATTAGGGACACATGCCAGGATGGCAATAACCTCTGGTCCACGGTACAGATTGCGTCATACTACCCACAAGCCTCTGGGTTCATGTTCCTAAGACAAAGCGGAACCTGTTTACTGCAGAGTCCCCAGGAGACTGTGATAAAGAAACAGTTCCCGCTGTGTCTTTCGATACTAGAGGGGTGGGATACGAGCAGCAGCAGCTGATCTTTAAGATACGTCCGAGCCTACGCCTAAATGTGCGGCCCTAACCATTAGGCAGTCAGCCCTTGCCTGCTGTCTTCCTCTTTTTGGAGTAAGGGCTCTCTGGAACAGGGACTCAAGCGCCACCCTTAAGCGTGTCGTGGGAGAGGGAGAAAGGAAAAGACAAGATGCAATCAAAAGGGAAGTTTAGACTTGGGGACTAATTTCCTTATCCCCGACAATGAGGTTACCCAAAAAGTGACATTGACACGGGACACGCATACAGTTCTTTGACATTCAGCTCTTTATTAGTGGCGAAACTGCCTTTGTTTAGGCAGAAAGGCACCGGGAATGGGCAAGACCAGCGCCCATCTGAGGGGATTTTCCTAAAAAAAAATCAGGTGTTTCTCCATGCAAATTTAGAGGAAACACCATCATGGAAGAACCTCCCCCCAGCGTGCAGCCAGAGACCACCAAGCCCGGACACCAGAAGGCCCTAGGGGCCGCCCGTCTGCTGGGACAGCAGCGCTTCTATGTCGGGTTCGATGTCGATGGTGCGGAAGCGGCGGCTGTACCTGCGCACCGGGACTCCGTCGCGGCCCACCAAGAACTTCTCGAAGTTCCAGGCAATGTCGTTGCGGCACACCGGGGACCAGATGATGTACTTGGGGTCGGTCATGAGCGCAGTGGGGTCGTCGCTGGGCGCCGGCAAGGCCTCCCGCAGGAAGGTGAAGAGCGGGTGCGCCTTCTCACCGTTCACTTCGCACTTCTCAAACAATGTGAAGTTGGGCTCGAACCCACCACCCGGTCGGACATACTTGAGGGTGTTCAAAATCTCTTCGTTCTTGGCATTCTCCTAGGGAAGACAAAGGCGTTTACGGCCCGGGACTTCACGGAGCGTGGGCCTCCTGGCTGGAACCACAGCTGAGTCACCAGGAGGCTGCCCTCCCTGCACCCCCAGGCCAGGCCTGAATTCCGCGGGAGGCTGTCCCGCCTCGGGGAGCCCGGGGCCCAGCGCCGCCCACCCGCCCGGCACACCTGATGTCCGAACTGGTTGCACGGGAAACCGAGCACCATCAGGCCGCGAGGCCCCAGGCGTCTCTGCAGGTCATTCATCTCGGTGTAGTCCCGGGTGGTGGTGCCTCAGAGGGAGGCGACGTTCTCGATGAGCAGCACCTTGCCCCGCAGGGAGCCCAGGCTCACGGGCTCCCCGCCCGCCAGCGGGCGCGCGGAGAAGGCGAACACGGTGGACTGCGCCGCCGCGGAGAGCCGAGCCGCGCACATCCTGCAGGAGCGCGATGCAGACTGGCGAGAGCGGCGCCCAGCGCCTCCTTTTAGCCGGAGCTGAGGTCACGTGGCCCCCGCTTTTTTCCGGCTCCGCTGCCCGCTCCAGGTCTCAGGGTCCCGCCTTATCCGGCCTCTACCCTCCCCCAGTCTAGAAACGGGCGAGAGGGTGCGGCCCCGCTGAAGCCTGGCGGAGGCCAGGGCGGGTCTGGTCTAGCCCAGGGAGTGCGGCGCTGGGCTGGGAGCAACCGCTTAGGCTCCCGCCAAGGCCGGGATGCTCCAGCGCCGGCTTACTCAGACGTTTCTTAATTAGTCTAGGGTTGCGCCTACGAAGCTGGCCGCTGGCGAGAACAACGGCTGAAGCGGTTCACGAACAGCTCCCTTACACTGTGCAACTTCACCCTCAGAGAACACGTCATAAGGTGTTATAGGGCTTTAAAAACGGAAAAAGTTTAATTACACTGACTGTGCAATTAAACTGTACTGTGGGGGGAATGCACGTGGAAGTGGCTAGGGTTACTTCTCTCCTTGCACTGTTTGAGAATTTGGGGATTGAACCCAGGCATGGCCATTACTCACTCAGCACGTTAGGTGTGTGGTGTTCTGTTTTTGTGAGATAAGGTCTCTACAGAGCCCTGGATGGCCCAGAGCTCAGAGATCTGCCTGTTTCTGCCTCAAGTGCAGTGGGTTTTTGGGTGTGTGGAAGGAGGGGGTACAAGGTAAGGGTTCCTCCAGACAAGGTTTCTTCTCCATGTAGCCCTGGCTGTCCTGGAACTTGCTCTGTACATCAGGATGGCTAGAACTCAAGAGATAGTCCAGTCTCTACTTCCTGAGTGCTGGGCTAATGGAGTGCCCCACCCATGCCCGGCCCTGTGTTGTGGTTTTCATAGCACTGCAGACAGCCCTGTCAAGGGCAAGTTCTCTTAGCTGTTTAGTAAAGGTGGAAAACCGTATAGCAAGGATAAGGGATTCAGAGGCCCAGCCAGCTCTTCTCAGGACCCTGAACCAGTGAATTATCGCTGTGGCTCTAGCTCCCCTTAGTCTCACTACAGGGCGTTCCACTCCACTTTTTACATTTGAATGTGTCACAGGATAATTACTTCCATGTTCTTGGGAGGAGCCAGGTTAGTGTAGAGGAGTATGGGAGGGGGAGGAGCTGGTACCATCCAAAAAGGAACCTCTCTCCACGGAGGGATTAGTCATCGTGGCTAAGTCTTTCCATGTCCCAGCCCCTAGCCCTATTGGAAGCAAAACACACACCAGGATACAGGAAGTTTAGAAAACTGCCTTTATTCTATTAGTTGGAAAAATTAACTGGTACAGAAAAAAAGTTTAGTCAGCTGGAGAGAAGAGAAAACCCCCCCTTGCCACCCATAAGAACTGGTGGCTCCTCTGGGAGGCAGCTTGGATACAGTGTGGAAAAAGGAGCACTGTGACTTAGAGCCAGACCCTGCAGTCCAGGTGAGAAAGGCTATGCCACCTCCAAGGTCTACCTGCCTCAGGCGTGAAACCAAATTCCTATTTACTTAGTCCAGTCTGGAAAGGGGTACTGGGATACATAGGGGAAATATGGCCATATTTTATCAGAGAAAGTGACAAAATGGGAATTTTAAAAATGAATTTTCCATCTGACTTTATTTCCAAATACACTTTCTTTAAAAAAAAAAAAAAAAAAAAAAAAAAAAAAAAGCAATACACTTTCTGTGGGAATGACAAATATTGTATTAGGAAATCCAATTATACAAAAAATACTACATCTAGTCTGGGGTAGATATATTTATTTTTGGTAACATACATTAAGTGGCACTAATTACACAGTAACTATAAGGTAACTAACATGAGACCACAGAACTGTAACTCTGCCACAGCTGTGTGGACTTGGGGCTTTCTGGCTGAGCAAGTTTTCAAAAAACTGGCTGCCCACCCCAGAACTCTGCCAACGGAATCTGTTAAGGAGTAAACTCTGAAGTGACTCACCAGAGTGCCTTGCGGCTGACAGATGATAGGTAGGGCATGTTAGTTATAAAGTAGTTACAGCCTAATTCACAAAAGTTACCAACTGTTTCTCTTTCTAGAAAGAAGCAAGAAGTCAAGAGATTCTTTGAATTAGCGCCTGGTGTCAGGTGGAGTGCAGAGAGGGCTGTTAGAGCGGTGTCAGAAAAGACCCTGGCTGGTCGGACAGGTTGGACATCATTAATAATCATGGTTGGCTTCTAAATACTGGTAGCAAGATGACTTTTGATTTGTAATCTTAGGTAAATTATAGATAAATGAAAAGGCCAGTAATCATACACTAAGATTAATAAACAGCACTTCAAATTAACCGCATGAGGCTGTGCTTCACAAGGCTTCACAAGATGAGGCACCCAGACTTTTTCTTCCCACGTCTGGCTTGCAGAGCAGCTCTCGTGGCCATCTCAAAAACCTCCCTCACTCCATCTTTGGTCTTTGCTGAACACTCCATGTACCCAAAAGCGCCAATCCTGTTTGCCATATCTCTGCCTTCTTCAGGTTTTACCGGCTCCTAGTAAAGAGAGAAGAGTGCTTCAGCCAAGTCTTACTTTTTCTTTTTTTTTCTGGTTTTTCCAGACAGAATTTTTCTCTTTGTGCGGCCCTCGATGTCCTGGATCTCACGCTGCAGACCAGGCTGGCTTTGAACTCAGAGATCTGCCTGCTTCTGCCTCCTGAGCATGAAATTAAAGTTGTGAGCCACCATCACCCAGCCTAAATCTTCTCACCTCAAGATTTCTCTTTCAGCTGTTTTGTCTGGACTAGGCCCGATACGTTCCTGAGGACGACCACACGGTGGTTCTCGGGCCTCAACCTCCTAACCTGCGGGGACTACAGGTACATGCCACCACTCTTGACTTAAACCAACCCAGATTTAAGCTCTTTTCTAAAATTCTGAGACTGTCTATTAAACCTATTGTCTTTGTACACAGAGAGAAAAGGTCAGACAAACTCTGGAAGATTAAGGAAGGAATCCGGGGCAAGCTGTTTGGTTCTGCAGCTTTTTTTGTTATAATGGTGCTAGTGATTAAACCCACAACCTCGAGCTATATTCCCAGTCCAAGAAGAATTGGTTGAGTACAGTGCAAGGGAGCAGCAGGTTAGCTAATAAAAGTACTCTGCCTGTATCTAGGTTCACAGAGGAATAAGCGCCTGTGAACGGCCATAGTGCCAGTTGCTGACACTGAGGGACACCTGGGCTTCTCTGGGTTAAAGGCCTTATACTCCTCCTTCACTGGAGAAGGCCTGACATTAGAGCACCTGGTATCTCAAAGGTCAAAGTTTATTTATTAAAGGAATTTGGACCTTCTGTCTAGACTAAGGACCACCTTTAAGATTTCCCAACCCTGTACCTGCTGGAGAGGAAAATCTCTGCATCTGAAACAGTAACTACTGCTAGGATGGTTTCTCTCCAGGTGGCATCCTTATGTTCAAGGCTAACTCCTAAGACACAGCTCATCTCAGAGAATAAGAAGCCTCTCCCTCCGTCAGACCCAGCCAAGAAATGGCAGGTGAGCAGAGAAGGACTTCAGGGATTCTAAACAATAAGGTTTGTGAGGGTTTCTTCTGGGAGACAAAGTTTAAGACTACTACAAGGAAGCTAGGTATGGTGGTTCATGCCTTTAAACTCAACACTCAGATGAAAAATCTCTTTGATTTTGAAGCCAGCCTAATCAAGGCTATATAGTGAGATCCTGCCTTAAGCCACCCTGCCCCCATGTGCACAGGCACCCCTGTGTCTCTGTGTGTGTAAAACAGAGCTCTAGCTCCCCCTGCCCCCATACCATACCTGTTTCATTTTGGCTAACTCCCGTCTTGTGTGCTCATCATTCCGAAGATCCTTCTTGTTTCCAACCAGGATGATGGGCACATTTGGACAGAAATGCTTAACTTCTGGAGTCCATTTTTCTGGGATGTTTTCTAAAAGAAAAAAAAAAAAAAATACACACAGAATTTGAGGACATATTATATAATCCCATTCTGAAGGACTCTGAGAAAGCCAGTTGCTTTTCCTCTGTTGTTTCAAAAGCACATTGGGGCAGGCAAAGTGACTCAGCAGGTACAGTGCCTGCCACTAAGTCTGATCCCTGGAACCCATGTGGCAAATGAGAGCTGTTTCTTGCTTATTGTCTTCTGACCTTCATGTGTGAAATGCATGTACATGCACGTACACACGCACGAACGCACACGTGAGGGCACGAGTGTGCACACACATACACCCTGTAAAAACTATTTGGGGTCCCATATAATGAAAATAATCCATTAAATTTCAAAATTAAAAAAAAAATGCAAAATCAGATGGGAAGTGGCAGTGTACACCTATAATCCCAGTGCTTAGGAGGTAGAGGCAGGAGAATCTCTGAGTTTGAGGCTAGCCTGGTCTACAGAGTGAGTTCTAGGGCAGGCAGGGCCACACAAAGAAATCTCGTCTCCAAAACAAAACAAAGAAAAAGCGAACTCTAACTTCCACTCTACAAACATTAAACAGCGCCAGCCTCTATCGGCCCCTTCACCCAGTGCTGAGGTTCTCGGGTGGGACTCTAATAAGAGCTTTGGACTCTGTCCCACAGAGAATAGCTCACCATTGGTCTGGCCATGTTCTCTTTCTAGGTTGCTTTCTTGGTTCCACAGCATAATCTCTCTCTTGCCCAAAGCTTCCAAAACCTCTTGATTTGTGTGTCTGTGTGTAAGAGACATTCTCATCGCCTAGGCTTGTTTCAGACTGCCGATCCTCCTGATTCTGGAGACTACCCAAGCGATAGCTAGGAACAGGAGCATGCCCACTACATCTCCCCGGTCTGTTTTTTGGGCAGTGACCTTGTTCTTTACTTCAAGATGGTCTTAGACTCAAAAGTGTCTGTACCAAGTTCCAGTTCTGTGCTACTAACACGACTCCACATTACTCTCACTTTATTAGCATATAAGAATTTTGCAATGGGCATTATAATATAGGACAGGAACTTTTAAATGTAGCCCAAGTTGGCCTTATACTCACAGCAATACTCCTGTCTCAGCCTCATAAGCTTATTACTTTTGTTTTCCTTTTTGAAATAAGGCCTTAGTATGTAACTCTGGCTGTCCTAGAAAAACGATGTAACCTGACCAAAAACTCAGAGATCCCTCTGCCTCTACCTCCAAGTGCTAAGATTACAGATGTGCACCACCACACAATGTTTTGTTCATTATACTTAAGAAAAGACAATTGTATGAGTGTTTTGCCTGCAATTATGAGCACTACATAAACGCCTATGGGTATGAGCCATATGTGGGTGTGGGCACCAAACCCAGGTCCTGTTATCACACAGCCATCTTTCCAGCCCGAGTAACTTTCTAATGTAGCACACTGCTATGGCCCACCTCCATAAATACTATCTGTAATGCTTTGTTCCTGTTGCTTCTTTATTTACTACCCACTCTAGCCTTTCTGCTTCCTCTTACCTAGAAGTTCTATTAGTAGTTGGCTCATTAATAGTTTGCTGAGTAACAATATATGAAATCACACCATTTGCACTCCTACCCTGCCTCTAGAACTGGGACATAGCCTCCAAATGAATCCTGTATCTCTTCTTTTATGCATCCATTCTTTTTATTCTAATTATTTGTTGATTGATTGATTCGTTGATTTACTTTTGAGGCAGGGTTTGTCAGTGCAGTCAAAGCTGTCCTGGACTCACAGGCTGCCTTGAACTCAGGAGATCCACCTGCTTCTGCCTCCTGAGTGCTGGGATTAAAGGTGTGTGCTACCACGCTCAGCCATTCATTAGCTATTTATTTCGAGGCAGGGTCTCTTTACATAGCCCTGGCACTATGTAAACCAGGCTGGCCTTAAACTCAACAGAGATCCACTTGCCTTTGCCTTTCATGCAGGGCACTCAGGGAGTTAGTGAGACACCCTTCTCAGTTCTCTTGTTTTTGAGTCTTGTTAGATAGTTATAGCAAAAGCTGGCCTGGCTTACTGTGTAGCCAGAGTGGAGTCACACCACCAGCAATCTTCCTGCCTCTGCTTTCCCACATGCTGAGATTATAGATGTGTGCCACCGTGCCCAGCTAGCTAAAGTCTTTAAAGCTTTACCAAAATCAGAACAAAATCAACCGCTGTCATATTTCTGTGGACGGCACATTTGTAGGTCAGGTGCTGACATGTATAATCCTCAATCACTATGCTGGAGACAGGCTCTCACTGAACTGGAGCTCACCAGCTGGGCTAGTCGGTAAGCTTGAGGGATTCACCTGTCTCCATCTTCCCAGCTGGGATTATGCTGTCTGGCTAGGCTTTTAACATGGGTGCTGGGGGCTCAAACTCAGATCCTCATATTTGTACACCAAGTAGTTTACTGACTGAACTCTCTCTAGTCCTATGGATGCTTGATATGAATAGGTGAGTTGGTTTTTTTAAATTTTTTATTTATTACATATACAGTGTTCTGCCTGTATGCCAGAAGAGGGCACCAGACCTCATTATAGATGGTTGTGAGCCACCATGTGGTTGCTGGAAATTGAACTCGTGACCTCTGGAAGAGCAGTCAGTGCTCTTAACTGTTGGGCCATCTCTCCAGCCCGAGTAGATGAGTTTAAACATAGCAGTAAAGACTAAATATTTCTTTTACAGAAGTTTGCTATTGCATGGCATTTATAAGGCTTTGAGTTTAATTCATTCATTCATTCATTCATTCATTCATTCATTCATTCATTTATTTATTTATTTATTTTTGGTTTTTCAGGGCAGGGTTTCTCTGTGTAACAGCCCTGGATGTCCTGGAATCACTCTGTAAACCAGACCAGGTTGGTCAGGAACTCAGAGGTACATCTGCCTCGGCCTCCCTAATGCTGGGATTAAAGGCATGTGCCACCACCGCCTGGCCCTGGCCCAAGTTCAATTCTTAGCATCACTGAAGTTTTCTAACCCTAGGACCTCTCTACAATGTATACTCCAGATCAACTGCTAATGAGACAGAGGTTCCAAGAAGCAATCTTGATTGTCACAAGTCAGGCAGCAATGGTGCTGAAATGTGCACAAAGATTTCAGTGTTTCAAGACAGAGATGTTCAGTGGTAGAACATGTTCAAAACTAAAAGATGCACAGTTTTTTTCTTGAAACATCTTAAGGACCCCAGACTGGCCTCAGACCTACTATGTGGACGGGAGTAACCCTGAACTACTTGGCCTTCCTGCTTCTACTTCCAGCTCAGGACGTTAATGTAACTAGGCAAGCTGTCGACCGCAGGCTTTCATCCTAGGTCCGCGGCTGCTTTTTAAACTAGCTGTCACCTTTAAACTATCAAGGTGTAATCATCCAGATGGAACAGGGGATATTTCCCAACAATTTTTTGTATAAAGTAGAATTTTAGGTTTTGCTTTAACAGGCTCTTGGCTGTTCACAAGATTATTACTGAAGTGAATAAATCTTTCATTTTTCTCTGTATTCCTTTATTCAATCTTGGCTGCCACAATAAGACAGACAGAAAGCGCAAGGACACTTTTTTCTTGCATCTGTAGTAGAAACCTTAGAAGCAGACTGTTAACTGCTTCAGGTCTGTCAATAGATGCACAAACTTGTGACATGAGATTGAACAGGTTACCCACCACACAAACTCAAGGCCAAGTCCAGCTTTGGGGTGACATTAGCTTTTCTTTCAGTTTTTTGATAAAGGATCTTACCATGTAGTTATGGCTAGACCAGAAGTTACTATATAAACCAGGCTGGCCACAAACTTGCTACAATCCTTCTGCCTCGGCCTCCCACAGGATTAAAGGTGTTCCCAGCCCCACACAGTTAATCTTGACTTAATTTTTCTTTCTTTTTTTTTTTTTAATAATTCATTTATATTATTATTTTCTATACATTGGTGTTTTGCCTGTATGTGTAAGGGAGTCAGATCCCCTGGAACAGGAGTTGGACAGTTGTGAAGTGCCATGTGGCTGCTGGGAATTGAAGCCAGGTCCTCTGGAAGAGCACCCAGTGCTCTTAACTGCTGAGCCATCTCTCCAGCCCGTTTGTTTTTCTAGACAAGCTTTCTTTGTATAGCCTTGGCAGTCCTGGAACTCACTCTGCAGACCAGGCTGGCCTCAAACTCACAGAGATCCTCCTGCCTCTGCTTCCCAAGTGCTGGAATCCCTGCCCAGCTGGCAGAGCACTTCTAAGCATATGGGAAGCCCTCAGATTTAATTCTACCAGTGTGAGTGAAAACACTTAAAATCTATCACATTTACTAGTGTGTGTACATGTGGACATACATTTGCTATGGTACATCAGAGAACAGCTTGCAAGAGTTACTTCTCTCTTGTCATGTAGACATGTCACCTGGTGACAGATGCCTTTACCTGTTGAGCCATCTCAGTAGGACCCACTATGTGAATATTTTAAAGAATTAACACCACCCCCAACACACACAAGTCGTAAGAGATCTAGAATGAAATAATCCACAAGCCCATGCCCCAATCTCAAGGTTCCAGAACTTGGAGTACCATGATTCATTTTTTGTTGTTTTGAGACAGGGTTTCTCTGTGTAACAGCCCTGGCTGTCCTGAACTATCTCTTTAGACCAGGCTGTCTTCAAACTCACAGAGATCTGCCTGCCTCTGCTTCCCAGGTACTGGGATTAAAGGTGTATACCATTATCACCCAGCATGACTGATTCACTTTCTGAAAGAAAGTATCTATTTCTGAACCACCTGATACCAGAAAGAAACCAAGAAACTAGGTGTTTTCCCACCTAAATAGTAACCACCAACCAGCCAGCAGGGTCACTCACCTAAACTATCAGGGCTGTCAATGGAGAAACACATCAGTATAACATCAGTGTCTGGATAGGAGAGAGGCCTCAAGCGATCATAATCTTCCTGCCCAGCTGTGTCCCACAAAGCCAACTCTACCTGTGACAGGAGAAAACCACAGAAGGGCAATGTGAATATTACTCCCACTTTTCAAAAAAGCTTGCTACACACATTCAAAGAGCAGACCATCCAACTATCCAAACTAGTAAAAGCAGCTGATAATCTTTATGACAATCAAATCCAAACACAGGGTGTTTAAAAGTTTTATCAAAATAGCAAATTTATAAACAGAAAAAAGTCTATCATTAAAAATGTCAGTTAATAGAACATTGTAGTTTATAAAATCCTACACAAAAAACTAAGGACAAAAAGTATACCACCTAGTTAGCAACTCCAAATGGTCAGCTCTGAAAACATACATAAAAGTTAACATTATACAATGAACAGGTTGGACTTATGTATTTAGAAACACACACACACACACACACGAATGAAGAGGTCATGAATTTGAAGAGCAAAAAGGAGTATCTGGGAGGATTTAGAGCAGTGGTTCTCAATGTGTAACTTGCAACCCTTTTAGGGGTCAAATAACCCTTTCATAGGGATCACAGATCAGATATCCTCCATATCAAATATTTGCATTACATTTCTTGAATAGTAGCATAATTATAGTTATGAAAAGCAAAAAATAATTTTATGGTTGGGGGCCACCACAACTCAGGAAACTATATTAAAGGGTTGCAGCATTAGGAAGGTTGAGAAACACTGGTTTAGAAGGAGAGAAGGGAAGAAAAAAGAATGTAACATAATTTCAAAAAAATAAAGGAAGTCATTTTTACGAAAGTGTTTATTATATTAATATGATGTGAAAGAAAAGGGACACCCAAGAAAGAAAGTCAAACTCTGAGTCAAAGACTAAGTAACTTTTCTCCTTCAGTGGCAAACAGTACCTGTGGATAACCCCTTTCATATTACTCTCCCTTATTTCACAGGCCTATTCCTGAATGGTTCTGCCTGAATAGGACTTTCTTAGCTTTTCTCATATTCAAGGATAAAAAAGGATATTCAGCACAAAAAAAAATGCCATTACTAAAAGTGCTACTTATTTTCTTTTTTGAGACATAGTTTCACGAAACTAGGTTGGCTCCTCCCATGAAGTGCTAGAAGAGAATCTAGGGTCTCATGAGTACTAGACAAAAAACTCTACCAACTGAGCTACATTCTCAGTCTTGACAATAAATTTCCTATGGGCAAGATCCTGGTTGATAAAAAATATCCAGGCTCAAATATGTCAAGAGGAGGGGCTGGAGAGATGGTCCAGCAGTTAAGAGTCCTGGTTGCTGTTCCAAAGGACTGGGACCCATGTAGTAAGCTGTGGAAAGAAAATCCTGAACACATGAGACCCTGTTTTAGAAATAAACAAAATGGAACCCAGAAAATCATTAATTCAAGGCTAGCTTTGTTTCCACAGTAATAAAGATATAATTTTGAGCTTTCTCAACATTCAACTCAAATCCCAAAAGAAATGTGACAGGGGAAAATGGATTTCTGTTCCTAACATTTTTGTTACACTATGTACAGAAAAAGCCTACTTCACTTAAACAGGGCCGTAACACACAATGGCATCAGCTATTATGGAACTTGTACTCACCTGCTTTCCATCCACTTCAATATCTGCCACATAGTTTTCAAACACCGTGGGCACATAAACCTCTGGGAATTGGTCCTTGCTGAAGACTATGAGTAAGCAGGTCTTACCACAAGCTCCATCACCAACAATGACCAGTTTCTTCCTGATGGCAGCCATCACTTAAACATAAAACAAAAGGTATTATCTAGAATGTGTAAGAACCGGAAGCAGCCTCAGACCATGACACATTTGAGTGGCCATGGGGGCAGGGTGGGGCATTATTAGTGCTCCCAAATTAAAAATTCTAGAACAATGTTCTATTTGGTACCCAAAAGCTACACACCAAAAACTATACTTAAAGAATAACAGTCATCCCCATAAGATGAGAAATGAAACAGAGATTTGTTCTTGCTACTTCTATCTAGAGCCACAGGGGCTGAGGCAGTAGGATTACTGCGAATGGATTCTGTCTCAAACAAACACAAATTATCAGAATGGATAATGTAATCATGTAGGATATAGGCTGGGCACGGTAGCAGTAGATCTATGGGAGTTTGAGGCCAGTCTCGTGGACGGAGTAAGTAAGTAAGCAAGTCAGTCAGTCATGAAGCCCAGCACTTGGGAAGGAGAGGCAGGTGAATCTCTGTGAGTTCAAGGCCAGCTTGGTTTACATAATAAGTTCCAGAAGAGACAGAGCTCCACTGTGAGACCCTATTTCAAACCAAAACCAAAACAACAAATAATGTAATCAGTCGTTTAGATCACCTGCATAGAAAGTCTGTCAAAAGATAGCAACTGTAGCCTTGGCTATTCTGGACTCTCTTTGTAGACCAGGCTGACCTAGAACTCACAGCGCTATCCGCCTGCCTCTGTCTCTCTAGGATTACAGGAGTGTGCACTGTACCTGGCTTCTGACAGATTTTTACAGTAGTACTGTCATATGGAAAATAAACTGTTCCTGCCATGGTGGTGCACACCTTTAATCCCAGCACACTGGTACATGTCTGTGAGTTCAAGGCCAGCCTGGTTCACACAGGGTGGTCTAGTACAACCAGGGCTCTGTAGAGAGACCCTGTCTGAAAGAAACAAATAAGTTACAAGGGAGATATTCTCTAAGTTAATGACTGATTGATAAAGTGAAAAAGTGGGGCTGGAGAGACTCTTCAGTGGTTAAGAGCACTTGATGCTCTTGCAGAGGTCCCAGGTTCAATTCCCAGCATCCACACAATCCCTTATAACCAACCATCTATAACACCAGTTCCTCTTCTGACCTTGAGTACCTGACATACATATGGTATACATATATGTGTCATGAGTTATAATTCACTGGTGCAAAGTACATGTTTAGTATGCATATGGCCCAGAGCTCCCAGTACTAGAATTAAGGCAAAACAACAACAAAAAAATTGGTATAGGTTTGGAAAGGTTAGAAATCATATTTTGTGGATGGTATTTTTCAAATCTAAAGGGGAGAGAAGCTGTGTTATAAATCTCGTAGAACATCTCTAAGGGCAAAGACAGAAGAAGCTTCAAGGAAATAAAATCTCTTCAGTAGTATGTCTTTAAAGGAATATCACTGAGATATACCAAGCATGTGACACACAGCCAAGTTCACACTGAAACCCTTTTTGTTGTTTGTTTTGTGACAGGTTGTTGCAAGCTTAGTTTTCTGGTTCACATAGGTGTGCGCATGTGTGCAGACACACATCTCTGAAAATGCATGTGCATATCAGAGTATAGCCTCAATTATCATTTCCCAGCACTGTCTACTTTTTTTAAAGTCAGGATCTCTCATTGAGCTGGAACACACCAAGTAGGCTTGTCTCCTACATTAATGTTTAGTGCACCTCAGGGATCTTCCTGTCTCCACAGTTCTAGTGCTGGGATTACACAGGGTTTTGTTGCGGTTGTTCTGTTTTTGTTATTTGTCAGTTTTTTGAGACAGGGTTTCTCTGTGTAGCATTGGCTGTCCCAGAACTTGTTCTGCAAACCAAACTGACCTCAAAACTCAGGTCTACTTGCCTCTGCACTCAAGTGGCTTTTTCTTTTGGTTTTTCAAGACAGGGTTTTTCTGGGTCGGGTCGCCTCGGTTGTCCTAGAACTCGCTCTGCAGACCAGGCTGGCCTTGAACTTAGAGATCCGCCTGCCCCTGCCTCCCTGAGTGCTGAGATTTAAGGCTTGTACCACCACTACCTGGGACCATCTGGCATTTTTAATATGTGTTCTGGAGAGACCAAAGTCAGGGTCTGTGCTTACAAAGCCAACACTTTACCATATCAACTGAGCTATCCCCAAGTCCAGTTTTTCTGATTCTTTATTGTTCCATAAATTTTTCTCTTTTGTTATATTTAATGTAAATACTATAAATATAAGAGTCCTGTGAGAAAGTCATTACAAAGCCAAGAGTGATGGTAACATACTTGGAAATAGAGGCAGGGAGATCTAAGTCAGCCTCTACTACATAGTGAGTTCCAGGCCAGTGTTGGTGATAAAATGAGACCCTTTCTCAAACACAGGAAAGTCACTGTCTTGACGATCATAGATTATGAAGGAGCCTAATGTTTTATCAATGCCCTTCCTGCGATTCTGCTCTTTCTGTGTGCTGTATCATTCATTATGTTCATGCCATGCTGAATGCAACTGGAATATAGAGTTGCAGGTGGAAGAGGTATGTGGGTATGCTCCCTTCACTGAAGGAACTCAGGACTTCAGCAATGAGTGTAAATCAGGCCCAAGGTCACTGTGTAGACCAGCTGGCCTCAAATTCAAAGTGATCCACCTGACTCTGCCTCCCTAGTGCTGGGGTTAAAGAAGGCATGTGCCACCACTGTGGCCAGTTCAGACATGGTTTTATGATATAAACATTAAAAGAGGTCCAAGGTGACACTTGGAGGCAACCCCTAATTAGGAAAGGGTGATTTAGGGCCAGAAATGGGTTTTAGAACAAAAAGGAATATCTCAGATGGACAAATAGGGTGTTTCGTTCTGGGAAAAGAAAAGGTTTCTGGTAAAGATATTTCTTGGGGCTGGAGAGATGGCTCAGTGGTTAAGAGCATTGTCTGCTTCTTCCAAAGGTCATGAGTTCAATTCCCAGCAACCACATGGTGGCTCACAACCATCTATAATGTGAACTGATTCCCTCTTCTGGCAGGTGTAAATGCAGATAGAACACTTATATACATAAAATAAAAATAAATCAAATAAATAAAATATAAAAAAAAAGATATTTCTTGGCACTGAGATAGTTAGAAATGTTCAAGGGTAGTTAGCAGGCACAGTGCTTGGTTTAAAAATGTGAAAGACCTGCCTGTCAAGATGGCTCAGCAAGTAAGAGCAGCTGCTACCAAGCCTAACAACCTGAGTTTGATCCCTGAGATCCACATGGTAGGAAAAGAAAGTTCCTGAAAGTTGCTCCCTGACCACCCACCACCTGTTCTCTGATGTGTGTTCTCCCTACAACAAATAAATGATTGAGTAAATGTGGCTTTTAAATTTTTTTCAAATAAAAAAAGGGAAATGGGAAGAAAAGTGGGTTATGCTAAAATTTTAGAAGATTCTAAATGCCAGGCATTTTGGCATTGCCCTGTGGGCAAAGATGTGATTGGAGGGAAGCCATAGGAACAGGATAGTTATTGTACTTGTGTGTGTGTGTGTGTGTGTGTGTGTGTGTGTGTGTGTGCGTGTGAGAGAGACAGAGACAGAGACAGACAGACAGAGGCAGAGAAGAGGGTCCCATGGATGCTGTGGTGCTGTGGCTTGCCTATAGAGCTGAGAGAACAAAACAACTTTCAGGAATCCATTTTTTCCTTTCATTATCGGTTCTAGGAATCAAACTCAGGTCAGTCATTAAGCTTACATATCAAGCTCTTTTACTCACTGAGCAATGTCATAGGCCTTCGTATCTGCTTTAAAAAAATTAAAGTAATAGAAATAGAGACAGTTTATTAAGGGGGGAAGGGCATTCTCTAGAACAAAGCAAGGGGGCGAGAGATGACTCAGCAGTTAAGAGCTCTGGTTGCTCTTCCAAAGGACCTGAGTTTTCATTTCCAGCACCTACATGGCAGCTCACAACTGTCTATAACTCCAGTTCCAGAAGATGTGGCACCTTCACACAGTCATGCAGGCAGGCAAAAACATAATAGATAGATAGATAGATAGATAGATAGATAGATAGATAGATAGATAGATAGATA